GTCCTCTCCCTCTTTTTCTTGATGCATCTGGCTAGTGGTTTATCAATTTTGTTTATCTTCTCAAAGAACCAGCTTTTAGTTTTATTGATCTTTGCTCTTGTTTTCTTTGTTTCTATTTCATTTATTTCTGCTCTGATCTTTATGATTTCTTTCCTTCTCCTAACTTTTGGTTTTGTTTGTTCTTCTTTCTCTAGTTCCTTTAGGTGTAAGGTTAGATTGTTTATTTGAGATTTTTCTTGTCTCTTGAGGTAGGCTTGTATAGCTATAAACTTCCCTCTTAGAACTGCTTTTGCTGAATCTCATAGGTTTTGGATCGTTGTGTTTTCATTATCATTTGTCTCTAGGTATTTTTTGATTTCCTCTTTGATTTCTTCAGTGATCTCTTGGTTATTTAGTTAAATACTGTTTAGCCTCCATGTGTCCGTGTTTTTTTTCCCTGTAATTGAATTCTAATCTCATAGCGCTGTGGTCAAAAAAGATGCTTGATATGATTTCAGTTTTCTTAAATTTACTGAGGCTTGATTTGTGACCCAAATGTGATCCATCCTGGAGAATGTTCTGTGCACACTTGAGAAGAAAGTATAATCTGCTGTTTTTGGATGGAATGTCCTATAAATGTCAATTAAATCTATCTGGTCTATTGTGTCATTTAAAGCTCGTGTTTCCTTATTAATTTTCATTTTGGATGATCTGTCCATTGGTGTAAGTGAGGTGTTAAAGTCCCCCACTATTATTGTATTAGTGTCAATTTCCTCTTTTTTTTTTTTTTTTTTTTTTGCGGTACGCAGGCCTCTCACTGATGCGGCCTCTCCCATTGCAGAGCACAGGCTCCGGACGCGCAGGCTCAGAGGCCACGGCTCATGGGCCCAGCCGCTCTGCAGCATGTGGGATCTTCCTGGACCGGGGCACGAACCTGCGTCCCTGCATTGGCAGGCAGATTCTTAACCACTGCGCCACCAGGGAAGCCCAGTTTCCTCTTTTGTAGCTGTTAGCAGTTGTCTTATGTATTGAGGTGCTCCTATGTTGGGTGCATATATATTTATAATTGTTATATCTTCTTCTTGAATTGATTCCTTGATCATTATGTAGTGTCCTTCCTTGTCTCTTGTAACATTCTTTATTTTAAAGTCTATTTTATCTGATATGAGCATTGCTACTCCAGCTTTCTTTTGATTTCCATTTTCATGGAATATCTTTTTCCATTCCCTCACTTTTAGTCTGAATGTGTCCCTAGGTCTGAAGTGGGTCTCTTGTAGACAGCATATGTATGGGTCTTGTTTTTGTTTCCATTCAGCAAGCCTGTGTCTTTTGGTTGGAGCATTTAATCCATTCACGTTTAAGGTAATTATCGATATGTATGTTCCTATTACAATTTTATTAATTGTTTTGGGTTTGTTTTTGCAGTTCCTTTTCTTCTCTTGTGTTTCTCACTTAGAGAAGTTCCTTTAGCATTTGTTGTAGAGCTGGTTTGGTGGTGCTGAATTCTCTTAGCTTTTGCTTGTCTGTAAAGCTTTTGATTTCTCCATCGAATCTGAATGAGATCCTTGCCGGGTAGAGTAATCTTGGTTGTAGGTTCGTCTCTTTCATCACTTTAAGTATATCATGTTACTCCTTTCTGACTTGTAGAGTTTCTGCTGAGAAATCAGCTGTTAACCTTATGGGAGTTCCCTTGTATGTTATTTGTTGTTTTTCCCTTGCTGCTTTCAATAATTTTTCTTTGTCTTTAATTTTTGCCAGTTTGATTACTATGTGTCTCGGCGTGGTTCTCCTTGGGTTTATCCTCTATGGGACTGTCTGCACTTCCTGGACTTGGTTGACTATTTCCTTTCCCATGTTATGGAAATTTTTGACTATAATCTCTTCAAATATTTTCTCGGGTCCTTTCTCTCTCTCTTCTCCTTCTGGGACCCCTATAATGCAAATGTTGTTTTGTTTAATGTTGTCCCAGAGGTCTCTTAGGCTGTCTTCATTTCTTTTCATTCTTTTTTCTTTATTCTGTTCCACAGCAGTGAATTCCACCATTCTGTCTTCCAGGTCACTTATCCGTTCTTCTGCCTCAGTTATTCTGCTATTGATTCCTTCTAGTGTACTTTTCATTTCAGTTATTGTGTTGTTCATCTCTGTTTGTTTGTTCTTTAATTCTTCTAGGTCTTAAACATTGCTTGCATCTTCTTGAACTTTGCCTCCATTCTTTTTACAAGGTCCTGGATCATCTTCACTATCATTATTCTGAATTCTTTTTCTGGAAGGTTGCCTATCTCCATTTCATTTAGTTGTTTTTCTGTGGTTTTATCTTGTTCCTTCATCTGGTGCATAGACCTCTGCCTTTTTCATCTTGTTTATCTTTCTGTGAATGTGGTTTTTGTTCCACAGGCTGCAGGATTGTAGTTCTTCTTGCTTCTGCTGTCTGCCCTCTGGTGGATGAGGCTATCTAAGAGGCTTGTGCAAGTTTCCTGATGGCCAGGACTGGTGGTGGGTAGAGCTGGCTGTTGCTTTGGTGGGCAGAGCTCAGTAAAACTTTAATCCACTTCTCTGCTGTTGGATGGGGCTGGGTTCCCTCCCTGTTGGTTGTTTGGCCTGAGGCTCCCAACACTGGAGCCTACCCAGGCTCTTTGGTGGGGCCAATGGCAGACTCTGGGAGGGCTTACACCAAGGAGTACATCCCAGAACTTCTGCTGCCAGTGTCCTTGTCCTCACGGTGACACATAGCCACACTCCGCCTATGCAGGAGACCCTCCAACTCTAGCAGGTAGGTCTGGTTCAGTCTCCTATGGGCTCACTGCTCCTTCCCCTGGGTCCCGATGCGCACACTACTTTGTGTTTGCCCTCCAAGAGTGGAGTCTCTGTTTCCGCAAGTCCTGTTGACGTCCTGCAATCAAATCCCACGTGCCTTCAAAGTCTGATTCTCTAGGAATTCCTCCTCCCGTTGCCGGACCCCCAGATTGGGAAGCCTGACGTGGGGCTCAGAACCTTCACTCCAGTGGGTGGACTTCTGTGGTATAAGTGTTCTCCAGTTTGTGAGTCACCCACCCAGCAGTTATGGGATTTGATTTTATTGTGATTGTGCCCCTCCTACCGTCTCACTGTGGCTTCTCCTTTGTCTTTGGATATGGGGTATCTTTTCAGTGAGTTCCAGTGTCTTCCTGTCAATGATTGTTCAGCAGTTAGTTGTCATTCTGGTGTTCTTGCAAGAGGGAGTGAGAGCACGTCCTTCTACTCATTGTCTCCTCTTTTAAAGCCTAGTTCATGGATTATTTTCACATTAATACATTCCATCATTTCTATTTTGCAAATGTTTTCACATTTATTATTTTACTACATATATTTACCCCCACAACAACCCAGTTCATACTGAGGGATATAGAAAATATGAGATCACTCAGTAAAGAGCAGAAATATTACAAGAATTTGAGTATTTTGATTCCAAGATTAGAATTCATTTAATTTTCATCTGTACATGCATTCGTTTTCTGTTGCTGTGTAACAAACTACCACAAACTGTCCCTGTTTGTGGTATCACAGTTTCCTTGAGTCAGAAGTCTAGGCACGGCTTAGCTGGGTCTTCAGCTCAGGGTCTCACAAGGCTGCAACCAGGTTTCAGCTGGACTGCGTTCTCATCTGGAACTCGAGTTCCTCTTCTAAGCTCACTGTTGTTGGCAAAATTCAGTTCCTTGCAGCTGTAGGTCTGAGACCCTCAGCTCCTAGAGGCTGTCCTTCTCCAAATGTGAGTGGCTAAGCAGTTTGAAAAACAGTATTTGCTTCTTCAAGGCCATCATGACAGTGTTTCTCTTTAGGCAGGGCCCAAACCCCATTTTAAGAGTTTCTATCTGATTAAGTCAGTCCTTTGGAAAAACTCACTTTCCCTCCTGTGTGTTTCTCCTTTGCTCTTACACTACTTCACACTCACAACACTTCTCAGACACCAGCTGGGTGTCCTACAATTTAACTCAATTCTGACACTGTCTCCCTGAAGATAGACTCAGGTCTCACATGTAAAGGGTTCAGTCCCTCAAGAATAACCCTGCCCCCACTTCAGATGCCAGTTGAAAGTCCAGGATGTCACCTGTGCTTCTGACCAACAGACTACAAATCAATTTCCCACAACCTCCTCCTTGAGTTTGATTAATTCACTAGAGTGGCTCACAGAACTCAGAGAAACATTTTACTTACCAGATTATCAGTTTATTATAAAAGGTATAAATCAGGAACAGCCAGATAGAAGAGATTGATAGGTCAAGATATGGGGAATGGGCATGGAGCTTCCATCCTCTCTCCAGACCACCACTGCCCCAGCACCTCCATGTGTTCACCAACCTGGAAGCTGTCTGAACCCTGCTCTTTTGGGGTTTTATGGAGGCTTCATTACATGGACTCGCTTGATTAAATCATTGGCCATTGGTGATTGAACTCAATCTCCAGCCCATCTTCCCTCCCCGGAGGTCCAGAGGTCTGGGATGAGGCCAAAAGTTCCCACCCTCTAATCACATGATTTGTTCCCTTGGCAACCAGTCCCCATCCTTAGGTGCTTTCCAAAAGTCACCTCATTAACACAACAAAAGATACTTTATAACTCTCATCACTTAGGAAATTCCAAGTGTTTTAGGAGCTCTGTGCCAGGAATGGGGACAAAAACCAAATATATATGTCTTATTATAAATCACAACATCATAGTCAGGTGTGCCCAGGATAATCTATCTCCCTTTTGATTAACTCAAAATCAACTGATTAGGGATCTTAATTACATCTGAAATATCCCTCCTCCTTTGCCATATGATATAATACAATCACAGGACTCATATTCCAATACCCCTGCCATGTTCTGTTGGCTAGAAGCAAGTCTCAGGTTTCACCCCAATGCAAGGGGAGATTACAAAAGGGTGTGACTCATTGGGGGGTCACCCTAGAGTATGTCCAACACAGGAGGTAAATAAATAAAACGTTGAACCACTAGAAAAACAAACCTGAAATGTTCACTATCCATGATATTGTCCATGTTGCAGATTAGCAACTTGAAGGAGAACATGGTATATCAGTTCCAAGTGGCAGCCATGAACATCGCTGGCTTGGGAGCACCCTCGGCAGTAAGCGCAAGCTTCAAATGTGAAGAGTGGACCATTGCTGTTCCAGGTAAACCGGGAAGACCATGTCTCAGCACTGAGGCTCAGAGTTTCTTCCAATGGAACCTACAACCTGGAACTAAATTTAAGTGGTACATATATACAGCTTCTAAGGGAGACAAATTCTCTCAGCCCCTTGTGTTTACGTTAAATATTTCTACAGTACTATGAAACAATAGGTACCAATATAAAACTGAGTATAAATTTCTTATATTCCAAATAAATCCTAGAGTCCCCATAGCTCAGCCTCTGCATGGAGTAGGATGGACGGAAGCACACAGTTTGAATGCCACTTGATTATTTAAAAGGAATTCTAATCTTTGCTTGTCTTCTTCAAGGCCATTAAAGGGCATCCAATTCACATCCGCCAGCAAAATTTCTTAAAATGTCCTCTGGCACTCCCAAGTTGTGCATTCTCCCACTGCTCTGGAGCATTTCATTTATCAGCCTCCCTCCCCTGTCTCCTCAGCCCCAGCCTCTGTGGCCTCCTTCCTGTGGTCTCCTCCTCCCTTGCTCCCAGCTCTTCACTGTACATACAGGGGACCTAACATGCCTGCCTAGGGCTTCAGTTCTGGCCTCCTGCCTCTTATATCTCTCCACTTAGCCCTTGAGTCCTTTCTGTCTATGTCAGCTTTTTCTCAACTCTGCATCACAATAAAGATCCTGGAACCGGACTGGAAATGCTCTCCTTTGGAGGTTGTCATAGAGGGTGGTTGATGGGGCAGGGATGAAAGTGGGGAGAAGCCAGAAACAATTACCTATGCTTTTAACTCTTACACAGTTACAACAGTGAACAAATGTAAAGACTGAATACTAACAAATTTACTAAGTCATTAAGAGTCAGACTAGCAACATAGTCAGTGGATGGGGTTTTTTTTGTTTGCTTTTTGTTTTTTAATTTTTGACCTCACCACACGGCATGGGGGGCCTTAATTCCCCGACCAGGGATTGAACCTGCGCCCCCTGCATTGGAAGGCGGAGTCTTAACCACTGGACTGCCAGGCAAGTCCCTAGTGGATGGTTTTATTGTGCTTCCAATGGCACTAACTTCAAACACCCAAATACTTTAGTGCCACAGAATGACTAAATTCTCCCACTTGGGTTGGGTATTCAGCTTGTATAACAACTGCTACAGCACTGGCTCCAACCACGTTAGAACACCAGGCCACACTGGGCACACTGGGTGGATCCAGCCATGCCCCCAGTGCCACCCACTTCCTCTATTTGAAACCTTAGTGCATTTGGAGGACCATCTTTGTTGCCTTCACTTAGTGAGCGTCCATCTACATCACATCTCTATCAGGTGTGAATAAAAAGATTGCAAGAGAAACTCAAGAGAAGTTCAAGAGTTCACTCTCTTTCAGTTAATACAAGAGGCAAACACAGTGGCTTTCCTTTCGCCTTCTTGAAGCTGGCGATATTTCTTAAGTTCTTTCTGCCACCTACGCAAAAGTGGGTCTGTTTTTAAATTACTGCAGTTCCTGAATAAAGTTAAAATGTGAATGACGACAGACCAAGAAATTCTGAGCAGACCTGTGGAAAATGGTTTGATAGACAGAGATATAGTTAGCAAAAGAGGTTGCAGGGTGAGTGCTCCCAACTCAGAGGAAAAGTGAACGGGGCAGTCATCCATGCCCACGGCCTCTCTTTTCCCAGATTCACCCTTGACTCACTGAGAAGTGTTGGGAAAGCCATGAGTCAAGAAAGCTTTATGATAGGTGAGAGCATTTAGGACATTTTGTCGGATGAAGAAACAGACTCAGGTTAAATGATACCCAGGAGGCCACACAGGGAATAAGTGGCAGTTAGGGTTGGAAACTAGGTCTGCTCATTCCAAGACACGAGGGGGTAGGAAGCAGCAGCACAGTGGTCCTTCTCTGGAAGAAAGGGCTGGTGCTACCTGTTGGGATGCCTCTCTGGCTCCTAAGGATGACACAGGACAATGGTCATAAAAGCCCTTTGCAAAACAGAGCACTCCACACCAGGGTAAGGTACTGGTGTTATTTAAACCTATTTCCACAGAAGGCATCATCAGGAGACAAGGATGACTCATTGCCAGTGACCATTAAGCTGAGGAAAAGGGCCCAAAAAACACAGTGATCAATTGCAAAATGCCAAAGCATAGCATGATGGAGTCTGCGATTGTAGTTGGCTCTCAGGCCACTGTGAGTCAGTTCAGGTGCTTTTGATTGGTTGGTTAGAAACCAGTTGTTATTAAAAAAAAAAAAAAAAGAGGAAAGAGAAAAGAAAATAAAGGGACTTCCCTAGTGGTGCAGTGGTTAAGAATCCACCTGCCAATGCAGGAGACACGGGTTCAAGCCCTGGTCCGGGAAGATGCCATATGCCGCAGAGCAAGTAAGCCTGTGTGCCACAACTACTGAACCTGCGCTCTAGAGCCTGCGAGCCACAACTACTGCAGCCCGCGTGCCTAGAGCCTGTGCTCCATAACAAAGAGAAGCCACCGCAATGAGAAGCCTGAACACCGCAACAAAGAGTAGCCCCCGCTCGCCGCAACTAGAGAAAGCCCACGCACAGCAACGAGGACCCAACGCAGCCAATAAATAAATTTAAATAAATAAATAAAGTGCAAATCTGACTATATCCTTTAAAAAAAAAAAGAAAGAAAATAACTATATCACCTTCATAGCAGCTGGTAGTCATGCAAAGATGCAGGCCATCAGTGAGTAGATGGGACTCGCCCAAGAGTTCAAAGAGCACACACAGGAAGTATTTGGCTTCCTTCCTGAACAGGTTGATCAAGTTCCTTGGTGTCTCTGAGCTTTCTGTTAATTGTTTTAGGGATGGGTGAGATAAAAGAATGTAAAATACCTGATAGGGTTTAGCATAGATTCAGGGCCCATGGGATTGATTGTATTTGTTTTGGTGAAAGTTCTTTGTAACCACAATTGTAGTTTGTTTTTACCCCTATATGGGATATATGCTTTACGAGAAAGATATCCCTCCAGTGAGGGAGGGATATATATTTTGCAATATATATATTTTTCTATATTCATAAGCCATCAAAGAGAGTTGCTTTCTTCATCATAATTGAGATTGCGGGGTATTTTCAGATTGTCATCCAAAAATAATCTGAAACTGAATCTGCAACCAAATTAAACTGTTATGATAAAAGGTGAGGAACACAGGCCTGAGGACAGCCTGAGGGCAAGGCTTCATCCAGCTGCTGGAGGGCACCTTGAACTGGCCTTAACCACTTGCTGCCCGTAAAGGGTCTTAATAGGCTGATACAGAGCTGTTGAGGAAACTTGATATGAAATGAGCACGGAATACCTGTTTCCATGGGAGTAGTAGATTTTACAAAAGAAGAACACCAGCATTAGCTTCAGCTTTAAGACCTTAAATGTGGTTCTAGGTTTACACACATTGGCGTTTTCTTATCTCCATTATGATTGTTACGCATCAGTCTCTCTTTCCCTCTCAGGACCACCGCACAGTCTCAAGTACAGTGAAGTCAGAAAAACCTCCCTGGTTCTGCAGTGGAAGCCTCCAATGCACTCAGGACGGACTCCGGTCACTGGCTACTTTGTGGACATGAAGGAGGCCAGTGCCAAAGAGGACCAGTGGCGAGGACTCAATGAGGCGGCTCTGAAAAACACATACCTGAAGGTGAGAGGATGCTCACAGTTTGAGAAAATCTTTTGTTTTTTAAAGAAAAACGGTTCTTCTAACGAAGTTAACTTTAAAGTCAGTGAGATAAAGCAGAGCATCTCAGCATTGGTCTGTGTCATGTGTTGGGATCCTGGTAGGATTCCATTTGGCAGTCGGTGAGGTTTGGGGGATGTTTCTGATACTTAAAACAATTTGCTTGTAATTTGACCCAAATCCCTTTGCCTGGCTTTAGGAAAGATCCCTCCTCCCTCTTCTGTCCCTCCTCGCCTCCACTTACCCACCTCACATTTTTGTTACTCACAGTCTTAAGATGTTACCATCTCCAAAAGGTGACTTTCTCATTCCTACCTCGAACTTTTTGCCGGTGGTTTTTGATTTGAGGGTGTTATTTTCATAGAGTTCATGCCTGTACGCCTTTCACTGCTGATCCTTTTGAGTCGTGGTCGGCCTTACCTCCCCTGCCCCCTCACCCCTGTGCTCACGTGAGCTCTCAGGGACCAGAGGAATGAGTTGCCTCAACTCTTGACCTTGTTCTCACCCTTCTCCATGTCACTGCCTTCCAGGTTCCTCTAGAGTGTTCCAACTGAACCAGTTTCTAACTCTATCTGCCAGAGACTGTTCTGCTCTAGCCACTGACTCTCTCACTAGTACCAAATAGAAATCTCAAAAGAATGTTTCCCCCTATTATCAGCAGTGGCATCTGGAGACCCTGAATCTACAACAAGGCCTCAGAAACTGTGGGGAATATGACTCCAGTTCTTGTTACGTACAATGAAGTGTGACTGTATGACCACAGTCAAACAGGAAGCTTCACAGTGCATTCAGTGTGCAGTCTTATCTGTTGGCAGAATATGCCACCACCCAGGGCGTGGGCCTTGGAGGATTTTCAGAGCATACCTGGTTTAAGAGATTTCTCTTGTCAACCTGCCACTAAAGTCCATACCATTTGTCAGCCACTCTCTGGGGTTAGGGCAGCCACTCTCTGGGGTCCCTATAAAAAGATGTAAATGTACCCTCCAGGAGAGATGACCCTTAAACCATTATATCCAACATGCCATTAACTCAGCTTCCCATGTGCCAGTAAGCTCTCCAGCCCCTTACAATACCATGAGGAGATAAGGAAGGTCACATTTCGTGGGGAAGAGAAAAGGTCAAGGAAGGTCTGGAGCCTAGGGTGCTGTTTGGCTGTCCAGAGAAGTCAGGAGGCCTCTAGATACAAAGATATCCCCAAAGGCCAATGTAAAACAAAGGTCGGACACATCCTAGATGATGGTGGTGTGTGCTTATGGCCAGCATGACTTCCAAATCCTCCATCTGCCATAGCACAGGATCCCAGGAGCCCGACTCACGGGAAACCACGTGAGAGTGAGAAGCCAAGCAAAGGGGACCAAGAGCCCAGGAAAAATGAGTAGGAAGAGAAAATAATGGAGTTTAAACACATCAAAGAATGGTTAATGTCACTCAGTTTTTTAAAAAAGAAGAAGAAGAAAGGCAAATTTAGGGGAAAGAGAGAGACTGAGGTTGAGTGCCCCTCACAAACCAGGAGACGAACTTTCTGTAAGGAAATGACCTTAGAGTTTGGCCACAATTTTTAAAGCAAAAATAGAATTACTGATTTTTCTGATTATAAAACAGATGCATGCTTATGATGACAAATTCAAGCAGTAAAGGCATAAAGAAGAAAAGTAGAGATGTCCTATAGTTCCCATACCCATTTTGATGTGGAGTCACTTTTCCAGATGTTTCATATTCAGAAAAGTTTCAGCCCTGAAATGGAGGAAAAATGTGCATGTTAAAAAGTTTAATCTGTCAAATTTAAGTGAGGAAAGGACATATAGCTCCAGGAACAGGAGATTCTAGCACCATGGCACTGGAACATAATGGCCTAACCGGTTTCTGCCAGAAGCACCCCCATTCACATTAGCACTGAGTGTCTAGGGGTTCCTAGAAAGTGAAAGATGCATTACTATCCACTAAAAGGTTTAACCAACAGAGCTCATGCTTCCTTCTTGATTGGTAATTACAATCTGCTGAGACAATGTGGTGAGAGGGACTGAATAATTGGAAGGGGTGGGGGATATAGATTATGCATCTCTAGTGCTTTAAGCCAGCAGTCATTGCCCCTGCGGTGATGGAAGAGTGGAGGGGTGTGCCTGTCACCTCAGTGACTAGACACTAGGAAGTGGATTCACTTCTTGTGCCGTGTTGGCAGAAATCTGACTCACGGCCACATAGTACCTAAGTGGCAGGTGCAGATGTGGCAGGTACCTGGCAACTGGTCTATTTTTATCACGACAAGGAAATGTTTCTGTTCCTTTCTGTAGATCCACAGTTGCCTGGCTTTATTTCTAAGTATAGAATTTAAATACATCAAACTCTTATGCGTTTAGCCCGTGCCTAAATTCATTTACGGATTAAAATTCATTTCAAAAATCCATTAGCTCCAGTGAAAGCTATCACTATATAAGTAGTGACATTCTGTTACCATAAACACAATACAATTAAATAATTAGATTAAAAACCCAACAATTTAATACATAGCTCATCTAAATACATGGTCACAAACACTTCGCTTAGTTGAATAAGTATATTCTAGCTTTGTTTGATTTAAACCCCATTTTGGCTGTTAATCTCCATCACAACACTATGGGAAAAAATTGTGCCCTTTGTGTGTAATAAACTCCTTCTTAAAATACATATAGCTTTAAAAAAAAAGATACATACAGCTTTTAAAAGTCACATGTTCTAAAAAGGAAAAGATAATTTTTGTAAAATATTGACAGTATTTGTAATACTAATGAGACTGTGCTGAACCCAAAGAAAGTCACAAAAAATTATGAAGTGGGACTGCTGTATAAAAACATATTGTATCTGTGTTTTCCTTCTCTTGTGCTCTTGTAACTCTAGCTTGGTGGCACACATATGATATAGGTCCTCAGCAAACATCTTCTTGATGATTGAAAATGTGAGGATTTGGAATTTGAATATATTTGACTATTCACAAATTACTAAAATTCACAATCATGTTAATTGCTTGTCTGTTTATTTATTAAGATTTTATCGTTTTAAAAAATTTATTTATTTACGTATTTATTTTTGGTTGCATTGGGTCTTCATTGGTGCACGTGGGCTTTCTCTAGTTGCAGTGAGCGGGGGCTACTCTTCATTGCAGTGTGCAGGCTTCTCATTGTGGTGGCTTCTCTTGTTGCAGAGCACGGGCTCTAGGCGCATGGGCTTCAGTAGTTGTGGCATGCAGGCTCAGTAGTTGTGGCTTGTGGGCTCCAGAGTGCAGGCTCAGTAGTTGTGGAGCATGGGCTCAGTTGCCCCATGGCATGTGGGATCCTCCCGGACCAGGGCTCAAACCCACGTCCCCTGCATTGGCAGGCGGATTCCCAACCACTGTGCCACCAGGGAAGTCCCTGCTTGTCTGTTTAGTGAGAAATAGCTGTATTATATTTATAGGGACAATTTTTGTTTGTTTTTGTTCTAGTGCTTTAACATGCTTTTAAACGGAAAGTGATCCATGATCTGTGATCCGTGCTTGTAATTCCCCTCTCTTGTCAGAAATTTTATCTGAAATTATTCATGGAACGTCTCAAAAGGATCAGGAAAAAAAAGGGCAGCATATAAGCTCTCCTGAGCACTTTGTAATTTGTCTTTTGACCAAAGAATAAGGTGGCTAACTCCTTTAAAGCATACCTGTATTAGTCTTCTGTTTCTGATGCTGGTGGCCATTAAATTATCTAAAAAATAAACAGCATCTGAGTTTCAAGGGATCTTGGAAATCTCTACTTACACATGGTCCAGAGAGAAGAAAGTCTTAGCTGAAGCCACACACAGTCTTTGACAGAATGACGTTCAGAACCCAAGTCCTGTGCCCTTTGTGCTGTATAATTGAATTGCCACCACAGAGGAAGGACGCTTCTGTTCAAATGACACAAAGCACCCATCACTTCTATACCTGCTTCTTCCAGGTGCAAGGCCTCAAAGAGGGTGTCAGCTATGTGTTCCGAGTCCGAGCCGTAAACCAGGCAGGTGTCGGGAAGCCGTCTGACCTTGCTGGGCCTGTTGTGGCAGAAACCCGTCCAGGTAGGCTTTTACTTTTTCGTTAGTCTCATCTGTGTAAGATACCAAAGTAACATTCAACCTTACTTCTATGCTTTTCCTCATTTTCAAAATCATCACTGTATGCTAGCCGAATGATTGATAAGAATGAGCGTAGGACTTGACAATCATTTACCCCGTCACAGGACCTTAGGGCAGGGGTGAGCCACGTTTGTAGTGGTCCAGGGCTACTCTGGTTCATACTTAAAAACAGGGAAGTTCTTGATCAAATTATGCTTCCTGGACCAACTGTTTAAAGCATACATTCCTGGGACGTTATTCCTATTATACTATGGCCATTAATTCCCACAAGAATATTTTCCCATCACACAGGAAGCTGGAACAGCCCAGGTAGCAAGCATGATCCTTAAACAAAAGTAGGATTTATATAATTGTAGCTACTAAATTAAACCAGGGGACAGAAAACTTTTTCTGTGAAGGGCCAGATAGTAAATATTTTCAACTCTATGGTTATATGGTCCCTGTAACAATCCTCAACTCTGCTGTGGCACAAAAGCAGCCACAGACAATACATAAATTAGTGAGCATGACTATGTGCCAATAAAACTTTATTGTGCTTGATACATGCATTATGTAATATGATACATTACATGCACTATGAAATTTGAATTATAACTAGTTTTCAGGTCTTGAAATATTAATCTTCTTTTTATTTTTTTATTATTATTATTTTTTTTTTGTGGTACACAGGCCTCTCACTGCTGTGGCCTCTCCCGCTGCGGAGCACAGGCTCCGGACGCGCAGGTTCAGCGGCCATGGCTCACGGGCCCAGCCGCTCCGCGGCATGTGGGATCTTCCCGGACCGGGGCACGAACCCATGTCCCCTGCATCGGCAGGCGGACTCTCAACCACTGCGCCACCAGGGAAGCCCTCTTCTTTTTATTTGTAAAAGCTGTTTAAAAACGTAAAAACCATTCTTAGCTTGCAGGCCATACGAAAAGAGGCAATGGGCCAGATTTAGCCCACAAGCCATAGTTTGCTGACCCCTGGATTAAACTAACAGCGGTCCTAATTGAATGATCTGTGGAGTTGAGGCAGCCTCACTTCCCAGTTTCAAGATGCCATGATTGGACTAGGAAAGACAGCCTTTCCCTTTGTTATGTGAACAAAGTTTATAGTGTTCACTGTGCAAGTAGTTTCAGATCATTATATAATACTTATTTTGCCATTTAATCTCCTTTTCAAAGTTATAAATTTCAGTTCATTAAGGTTACATGAAAGAAATCACTGGAAATGAAAAAAGATTTAAAAAAAGTATTAACCAGTTATTTCAAGTTTATATTCATTCTAGTCCAAGCACTCTCACTTTAATCCATTCCTATTTTCAGACTGAAATAAAGAGCAGATATATAATGTAATATTTGTTTTTAGGATGAGAAAAGAATGTAAACATAGAAAACTCTGCTCTCACTTAATGATGCTTGAAAAGAATATCTAATGTATCCTTTGAGGAAGTACCTGCCCCTTTGATCCTATTACTTCATAAACTGCTTTCATCTACTCCTGTAACTACCCTCTAGCACCGGGTACGACAGAAGTGACCTTCTTGTACCAAAGTGTGGTAGGTGTGTCTGGACAGAGTGCCATACCTCATATAAGTACTCTTTGCAAAACTTCATGAGAAAATAGAAAAATGCTAGGAGCCCAAATGCCAGGTAAAAGGTGACACACGAAGACATGAGGACACACATTCCTATAGAAATCAGACCCTTCAGGTGCCAACTGTGCAGATATCTAGGGTGCCAATAGACATGCAGAAGAGCCCAACTGTGAGGCTGCCCTTGTAAGAACATTTAGATTATTACACAAATAAACGATCTAGTCATTGATAGGTTAAAAGCACCCTTTAAGCAGTGGAACCCAAATCTGATTGACTAAAGAAAGCTTAAATTGATTTCCTGTTTTCTCATCAATAACCCTTGGAATGGCAGGTGGCCAGTCAGGATGTTAGTAAAGCCACCACGGTGGAAACTTTACCATCAGAAAGGAGTCTGCTGGTGAGCTCCTGGGGGAGAGTTTTGTTTCACTCGTTTGGAACAAGGCACCCAAAGTCATTCTGTGGCCGTTCCATTCCCAGAATATAACTACAAGCAGTAGCTGCAGACTAAACAGCAGCAGATTAACCCGCTCAGGAACCACTGGCTCAAGCCTAGGAAAAAATCCCAGGAGGCACAGAGTCAAGATGCTTGACTTTAAGCATCGCCATGAAGGAGCCCAAACCCAGGACACTGAGGCTGGTTCCATATGCAACAGACACATTCATTCCTGCACTATGTGTTTCCTGAACACCTGCTTCATGCCAGGTGCTGTGTGGGCACCACAAGTAGAGTAATGTGACGTTGTCACCACCCACTGGGCTTGTGAGCTGGTGGAAAAACAGTTTACAGCACGGCATGATGAGAGCTTAGAGGTTCACAAGATATTTCCCATAGATGAATAGGCTGTAAACAGGTGTTAAGGCTTCAAAAATCCCTGTAAAAACTTGTATGTAGCCTAAGGTTGTCTGTATTTATTAACTTTATTAAATACCAATATATTACTTTTAATCATGTTTTTATTTTATGCTAAAATGTTTGGGGCCGGGGTTGGGGGGGGATGGGATCTGTTATCAGTTTCAAGGTTTGGAACGTGAAACTAGGATTGCTATTTCAGAAGAACAACTCCTTTTGGAACACATTACTAAAATTTCAGATAGAGAATAAAGCTTATCATGTAACAGCAAACCTCAAATACACCTAACAAGATACCTCAAGTGCAATTTGAATTCCAGTTAAAAGTTAACCTAATCCACTGGGGTTGGTGGGGTGACTGGTCTCCCTTTGAAGTTGACGAAAATGCCAGCAGATGTAGCTCAGACACTACTGCAAAGTCTGATCGTGCTGGTAATGAGGATCAAAATGGACTAAGTGTGCTGTGCCCTACCAAGAAATCTAGTAGCTAAACAAGCCTGTAAGAAGAATAAGCTGGAAAATATTTAGAGTAGATTTGTTGGTACATGAGAGGCACTTCTAGTCTTGATATTTGATATTTTTCAAACAGTATCTATGTTGATTGTATCAGGTCTGGGCTGTAGGTGGAGGCAAAGTGAACCAGATCAGACGGGAGGCAAGAGAGAGACCTGCCAAGGTGTGGCAGGTGATCTGGAGGGCAACAAAGAACTGGCAGAACAGGCTGCAGGTGTTCTTACCAGAGACCCAGCAGCAGGCAGGAGAACTGAGGTGAGGGGCAGGAGAACCCAGACCCAGGCAGAGTCCCGGGCAGGAACTGAGTTATTGGAAGTTAGGACTTCTCACCAAGAGCAAGGCAGGTTAGAAGAACGGAGCTCCAGAAGGAATAATGAGCTGGGATTGAGTTGACAACCTACTAACCAATCCCAGTTTCTGAAAATTGATAGGTTATAGAACCTGGTAGGGCTGAGAAGGTTCAGTGGCCTTGAGGTGGAGCTTTGAAGGATTCTGAAGCAGGAAGCCAGGCTGACTATTAAAGATTAGCTCAACTGGCTAATTTAGAAAACTTCACTTATATTTGCTCACTATCTGCTCTCTTTCACCCATTAGCAAAGTAGTTTTCAACCTTGACAGTACATTGCATTAGAATCATGCCAGGAACTTTTTGAAAATTCTGACTCCATTCTAGACTACTCCAGACCAATTAAATCGGAGTCTCCAGGACTGAGCCTGGGCATAGGTTCATTTTTGTTTGTTTGTTTAACTCCTTGGGTAATTCAAGTATGAAATTCAAGGTTTGTGAACTGTGCATTAGATTGTGGGCTCCTTCAAAATTGGAACTTTATTTTCTCTATATATGTCAATAGCCTAGTACCTGGTTTATAGATGAAAAAAATAATGAATGGCTACCATGTTTTGGCGAGAGAGTGTGACTCTGTTTTGCAGCCACAACGTGTAAACCTAACCCTAGTATCTCATAATGAACGCCCTGGTTATGAAGGGTGAGTTGGGAGAGGTCCAGTGGAGGCCCTGATGTAGCACCAGGACCGCTGGTGTGTCAGCCAGTGGTCCTGTCTTCCACATAGGGGACCTCAGCGTTACACGCAGCCGATTACATTTGTTCACTTCTGTCTGCTTCTGTTCTGTCCCACTCTCCAGTTTTTTTAAACACCACACACACACACACACACACACACACACACACTCACGCACACCATGGAGAAGGACAAAGAATAAAACTTATAAAAGTGTCCTATTAATGCAGATATAAAAGACTAAATTATATGAGAAAATTCTCACATCAGATTATGAAATGTGTGAGAAGATGAATTCCCACTTTTAAATTTTATCTCTTTTTAAAATCATTATTTGCTGGAGTTTTATTATTATGGGCTGGAGTTAATTTCCCAAAAGTTCATTTTAGCCCTGGGCCGTACTTTAACCCATTCACTTACTGGGGGTAGTGGCAAGCCTGGAGGGACTATTAAAATGCCATTCCACGCAATCCAGTATTCCTCTATGTCCTCATTAAGGATTTGTTTAGGGTTGGGGCAGCTGACTAGAGACAACTCTTCTTAATTCCTTTTCAGACCAGAATTATCTCCTTCATTTTCTATAGCCAAATCTCCTCTGCTCTTAACTGAATTCTTCATATTCTTGAAAAGATTCAAAGGTTGTTTTTGAGAAAAATCTAAGTCCTGACAAACTTTGGTCCACTTTCCCAGCTCAACTCTGCGGGAAAGTAAGATGGCCTTTCATCTAGATGAGAATATCCATAGGGATTCCATTACTTTGACAGCAGAACATCAAACTTGCTGCCTGCCTGTTAAATATCGGAACCATTCCGCTCATGTTTTAGTCAAATTTAGTGAATGTGTCTCTTTAGACATTTATGAGTTCAACCATGGATTGACAGCAGCTCAGTGCTTGGCAAAAACTCAGGCCGTGGGACATTCTAAAAAGAAAATTTGAGGGTGTTGTAGCTGCACCTCTTTCACTCTGACGCTGCACCAGGTTAATCTCCACAGGTGTAGTTGTGGACTAGCCTGGGGCCTCTTAGAAATGCTGTCATTACATTGCTCTTGGTGTTCCTAGAGCACTTATAAAAAGAATCATCCATTTCAATGTCATGTATCTTTTGTAAAATCTCACTAGAATTTTTTGCCCATGATGTATCCAGGATCCGTTCATTTAAGGAACGCCACTATTAATTCCTCTTAGATTTTAATATGTGGAAAAAATGTCCTTTCCAGATTAACATAATTACCTTCTTTATTACACAGAGAGGAATCTATGAATCTATGTATTTTCCAAAAATGACTTCCTCTATATATAAACCCAGAATGCAGGAAGAGTCTACCTTTTTTCCAGGCAACTTCAATTCCATTTCCCATTATAGGTATTATTATAAAATACTTGGTCTACTAAGTCACTCTCCAAAAACACTTTTATTCAAAGAACTATGTTAACCAATTAATTAAAGCTGAACAGTAACAGAAGGCTTTGAATTTCAAAAGCCATGTTGAAAGAGTATGAGAGCATTAGCATTGTAATTCATGTGACAAATAGGGAACAAGATAACTTGTTGCCATAATCATTTTAAGACAATAACCTTGTTTTATATTTATACAGTTGAAACTGTGTTCTTTCTTTGTAATAGTAGTTATTTTGACTAAACATTATTTTCTAAAGAGAATTTTTGTGGAGTGTAAGAAATATGCCTAGAAAACTAGTATTTCAATTATTTTCAGTAAACTTTACTTTTCAAAATCTTGTGATTATGATCACTTTCAGAGTGATACTGTCAGCCAGTTGACAGCATCACTGTTTGTCAGGAAAGAGATCAAGTTTTAAATTCTGAGCATAAGTAGGAAACCCACTGCGACTAGAATGTTTTCTTTGTTGGTTTTTTTTTTAATTTTGTCTGTTTATCAAAATATTGGTGTTATGCTTAAGCTTTAATAAGACTAGTTCCAATAAAATAAACATTGCAATTCTAAACTGACATTTCTCATTTAAATCTGTTTTTTCAGTCCAGTGCCTGGCATGTGTAAATATGTATGGAAAATAAGAAAGACAAAAGCCCTGCCCTTGTAGAATGTAACCCTGTTCTTGATAAAATAAACAACCAGTGCAACTTTTTGAAAACTGAAAATTAATCAAATACTCATCTTAATGAGTATTTGATTTTTAAAACAGAAGTATGGAAGAGAGTTTTAACTTTTTTTCCCTTTATTTAAATAAATCAACAAATAGCACCCATCATAGCCACAATTATGTGAGCATAAATTGAGGAAATGTTCATGCTTCTCTTTTATCCACTACAGGTATTGTCTACCATGTTCTGATTTGATATGATTAATCAAGAAAAGCTGCACAGATGAGCACACTCAGATACTAGTTGACTTTACATCTAATCCCTACTTTTTATTTTGCCCCTCCAGGCAATTACTTAATTTCAAATCACAAATTTTGATCTAAGACTTTCAAAAAATACCATGTTGTTTTCTAAAAGTATAAATTATTACATTTTTTTACATTAGAACCCAGCTACAAAGTAATGATGTAAAACTCATAGGTTAAAGTGGAAACACACATATTGCCTGGGACTTAAAAATAACATCTTTTGTTTCATTTCATATGTCACAAAAGATCTCCAAGTACTTTACAAAAATTAATTGCCCAGAATAATTCAGTGAGGCAGCTCTATATCCTTCTCTTAATAGCTGAGGCAATTGAGACAACAACTAAGCAGGGTTTTTCTATTCTCTAAGTTGCATGGGTTTGGGACCAAATCTGGCCATTCAGAAACCTGAAAAAGGTATTGTTTTAAATACCCAGTAGTTCCATTTACCTGAGAATTTACTGCTAGAGCATCAATTATTTAAAATTTCATTCTAAGACTCTTTGATGAAAATTCTTGTAAAATAGATTACACATTTCAGTACCTACCTTTCATACTTCTTGGATGCAATATACTTAATTTCATTTACCTTTTTCTGAATGACTCAGAGCCATAAGTATCCACCTTATTTATTGCCCAGTGTTACAATATAGTGACGTCTTATGGGGTGAGGAGCTGTTTGTCCCTCTACTAAATAATGTCTTTGTGCCTGCTTTTTAGTTTTCTGCTTCCTCTCCTGCTGTCATTTTCCTGATGATAGTAGCTTCTTACTTTCCTCTCTTTTTTGGGTTCAATCTACTGAGAGAAACTGACCAACTAAGCTTGTTACAATCATCTCAAGCTAAGTAGAGATTCCAAGTGATGGTCTATGGAATTCACCAGTGAGTGTTCAAGAATACTAGTGCATGGACTTTGTCACATCAGCACTGGCTCTTAGAGACTTGTTTTCATTACTTCTTGGTCTTGGGCAAGATTCCAAATGAGTGAAGTGTTACGGTACAAAGGTTATCCATGTAATTGAGAGAAAAGCCAAGCTAATTATATTGTTCATATGCTTTCCGTTTTATGACTCCTTTGTAGAAACGTCAAATCTTTCACTTTAATAAAAATCAAGACTCTTAAGCTAAGCAATATTTTTTTCTGCTGTAAACTTAAGTCATACCTCCAACATAATAAACAGCAGGCATATGGATGATTCACTTCCTTTTTAAAGAGATTACAAATAAACCAATGAATGATTAATACGAACAATCTGTCATGCCTCCAAAATAGATATTATGTAAATAGCAAGAAAGGTTTAGTCAACTTCATTACTTCTCCTTTCCTCTTTATAACAATACAGATATTCAGAAAATTTTCCATTTATACTCTCTGTGATTCAGTTATGCTAACTGTGTATTATAATACCATCTAAACCTCAGCATTCTTAGGTGTCAGTCTTTTCTTAAGTAACTTGTTCGTTATTTGTTATACAGCAATGTTATACATTAATCCTAATGTAAGGATTAGTCATGTGGGAATAGACTAATGTGGGAATAGAAATAAAACATGGTCTGTGACTTCCAATAAAGTAATACATGGGGGACATTTCACTTAGGAAAAATTAAATCTTTAATTGATCTTTATTTCTGTTTATCTGTATAGCCAAATGTGAAAATAACCCTTTATTTTTTAAAAAGTAATTTTTTAAAATCTCCTAGAATTAGTCTTCACTAAGTTTTCTATGTGTTAAAAATCACTTTTTGGAGGTTTATAGCTGAAGCACACACTACTATCAATAAGGACACAAATTAGACCAACTGCCAGGCTTAGGAACCAACATCCTAATGTCACCAATCACTCTTTAGGCACTCGTTTTGTTTTGCCCTTCGCCTGGGAGGAGTCTTGCAATTGTTTTTCCCCTGACAAGTTTTATTGAATGATGCAATCTAGAAGAGAAAATCTTTCATCACTTGGGAAGTATCTACTGAAAGATTTTTTTTTATACTTTAAAAAAAATAAAACTATACCTTTCTGAAATTAAATATATTTTTCCTAATGTATGGAAACAAACTAAGTGTAGACTGGTAATTGAATTAATGGCAATTTGAGAAGAGCATTTTACCTTTTAAATTGGATTTAGGCAGAGATGTGAACATTTTATATGCTATACACACTCTGAATTGTTATATTGAATGCAGATGTAATTTATTATAACCCTCAAAAAAAATCCCTCAAAACATTATTGTTTTCTTTTAAAATCCAAAAACTAATCTTGAAACATTTGAATCTCTTGAAATTCATTTCCATAAAGTTCAATAACAGTCATTTCTAGGTTTCTATTGTTCTAATCTAGAATGGCATCTTTAGATTAATTTATGATTACCTGATCAGCAGAATTTGTTTCCATGGAGTTTTTTTTCATTCTTAAATGATTTACAAACTTTGAACATGTGAATATAGGCAGTTCTTACTACCTCTACTTTCTCCCCTCTAATTTCCCTTTGATTTCTTTATCTCTTATCTATCCTTTCTTGATGACTAGTTAGATATGGGTAATATTGAAGCAAAAGTCATGAATTAGGCCCTGATAAGGACCATTCAACTTTCCTTTCTCCCAAGGCTGCCTTGTCCTTCTTATTATGGTCAACATACTCCAGTAACTGTCCCAAGGGTCACGTCAACCAATTTTCTTCAGCCCTGAACAAACAGTACTGTCCATGGTGTTAGCACTACCTAAGAAACATGGTACATTCATTTAATTCTGTCACAACACAAAAGTTGAATTGTAGCAGGATTGTCAGTTGCAGCGAGCAGTTGGGGCTTTTTGCTTGCACAGGCTCCAGGCCCTGCTTTAAGGCTACAGTAAGGGATCCCAAGGTAAGGAATTCTTACGTGATTGACTTCTACCAGGAACTATCAGTGCCTTGTTTTTGATCTTCTAGGAACCAAAGAACTTGTTGTAAATGTGGATGATGATGGAGTCATTTCCTTGAACTTCGAATGTGATCAGATGGCTCCAAATTCTGAGTTCACCTGGTCCAAAGATTATGTCCCCACAGAGGAGTCTCCAAGATTAGAGGTTGAAAGCAAAGGCAACAAGTACGCACCGTTTCAATCCTAACTATGGGTCTCCTTTTCATGAAAGGAGGATGAAGTACGCTTTCCATTTCAAATAAGAGAATGAAATCCAAATATTATATAACTGGAAATGTAAAAAGTGAAAACCAGTATAAACCTTAAAAAATAACAATCCTTATAAAATACTTTTCACATTAGTCCATTTAAAGTATTTTCTCATATGTGTCTCACTGTCAACTGAAAAAAAAAAGCGCAATGTGAGAGTTATGACCTAAGTTTTATTTGGGGCAAAATGAGGACAATAGCCCAGGAGACAGCATCTCAGACAGCTCTGAGGAACTGCTCCGAAAAGGTAAGGAGGAAAGTCAGGATAGAAGTGATTTTGGTGAAGGGGAAACGTGCAATCAAAGCACACATTTCGGCAGAAGCTTGCTGCTAGTCACAAGGAGCCAATGTCTCCATCAATGATTTTAGTGCTTTTCTAGATATGAGAAGATACAAGAAATTGGGCTCATAAAATCTTCTCCTGAAAAATACCTAACTATCTGAAGGCCTGTTCTGCCAGTTTTTCCAGAGCACAGAGCGCCTCATTCCTGATCTCCACCCTGAACTCCTTTCAGGGTGTGTTGAAGGTCAGCGACTGCAGTGGCTAATGACTTCATCCTTGTAGAAGCAGATGGCGAGCAGCAGTTTTTAGTTGGCATCGTTTATGATGATGTAAGAAAAGCTTTAACTGGCATAAAAGTGAACTTCAAAGATGATTCTCATTATTCTACAGAATTTTGAAATCTTAAGTAATGGTGAGGATGCTTATGGGGAGGGGTTAAGGAAGAACTTGCTGATTCAAGTTATGGTAAATTCAATGGATTGGGTATAATCTGTTCTGCTTTTTCACCGCCACTTGTGAGTGACACAATACTGTACTGGAAAGAACTCTGTATGGGAAGCACAGGAGAGATGAGCTCTAGTCCCAGCTCTACCTGGAGCCGGCTGTGTGACCTGGGGCAGCTTTTAATTACATGGACCTTGGATTTCTTTTTCTGTAAAATAGAAGAGAGTGAAGGAGATTAATTTTATGATCTGTTACTTCCTTTCAGCCTCAAGATTTCTTTTTATTTCACCTTACTTATCAAGCTTCATATCTTTATAGTGCCAACCAGATTGGATTATATTTAGTAAAGCAAAATATTCCTAAGTATTATTTCTATTACAAAAGCCCAATGTAGCTCAAAAATAAAAGAAAGAAATAGTAATTTTGTTGGAAAACAGCAAGGAAATACTGAATATATTAATAATTAAAAGACGTTCTGCTGTAACTATACTGTAAGGTCCTTGAAGTGAAACATAATTTTGGTCAAAGGAAAGACAATCAAACTATAAATTTTTTTCCTTGATTAACCTATAAATGTTTGGGTGATCTTAGACCCTGACCAGCGATGTGACTCACCAAAGTTAGAAAACAAAGAGAACTAGACCACTGACCCATTCATTCATTCATTCCACAAGTATTTATTAGGCCCATATTATGTGCTAGACAAGGTATGGAGGCCGGAGGACACAACAGTGAACAAAACAAATCTCGTCCCAAAAGGCATTCAGTGGAGGTATATAGTTAATGAACTAGGCAATACTGATGCCATGTGATAACCTCCAAAACAGGAAGTGCAGGGTTGACATAAGAGAGGCATTGGGAGGTTCTGCCCTGTGAAGAAGAAAAATTTCAGGCTGCCCAGCAAGGGTTGATCAGCTAAAAATATCTTTATTTGGGATGTACATCGATACGCATCATAGCTTGGGGATGGGAGATTTGTACCAGCTCCCCCTCCCGTTACCATCAGCCCATAGGAGGAGGTCAGGAAAGTCTTTCCAGAAGCAGCAAGAATGAGTGGGCTTTAGGTCAGCAAGGGGGACAGAACAAGTGCTCCACGTGAAGGGAGCGGACGTGCAAATGCCTAGAGACCGGCAGGGTGCAGGTCCTCAGACCCCACACGGCCTCTCTTCTTATAAAATTATTCTGTTCTGAAGGACGAAAATGACCTTCAAAGACCTCGGGATGGAAGACTTGGGCATCTACTCTTGCGATGTAACAGACACTGATGGAATAGCGTCAAGCTACTTGATAGATGAGGAAGGTAAGTGAAAAATCAGTTCATTCACGAGTCTGCTTTGATTTCTCAGTGATTCCCAAGGATCAAGTGACTTTTGTTTTAGTAGTTCAAGCTCTAATTGTTCTCTTTTTCTCCCTACAGAATTGAAACGTTTACTTGCTCTCAGCCAAGAACACAAGTTCCCAAGTAAGTGTCCACAATACATTCACAGAGTTTAGCCATCCCTCTACACACTTCTGACAGGATCAAGAGAAGAGGCTCTTGAGAACATATAATGGAGCATATATCGGTAGCTGCAGATGCACTTTCCGAAGGGCTGCCTTTATCTTTGTCATTGTTCTCCAGAGATACAAAGAACACTGACATAGAAGATACATCCCATGCTCTGTTACATAGAACACTATCGGGTTACATAGGTGTAACAGCTGACCAATTACATTCTTAACCTTTTGCCTACATATTTTGGAACTTTATACACACACACACACACACACAAACACACAAACACACACATCTCCTGGATACATTAATTTGTATGTCTTTTAGGCGAACTGATCTCTTCCTAAGCAATTTAATGTTAACATTTAATAGAAGAACCATACCTCTAAATAAAAACAGTACCTAACATTTTAAACTCCTGGAAAATAAGGTAAAGATGCCTTGATCAGAAAAAGAATTCCTATGAACTATCTAAAAACCCTTCAATGAAGTACCTTCTACATAAAAGATTAAATTCCAGAATTGACACCTAAGAGAAGAGAAAGAAGTCTGAAACGATACTCAGAAAGTTCCACTGGCCTGATAGGATCTCTTGCCCATTGGTACCCACTGGCCAAAGCAGTGAAGCATCCAGAAAGTTACACCTTAGAGTTTGAAAAAACAAAGAGTGATAGCATCACTCATTCTTTTAAATCAGGAATTTTTTTCATTCCTTAATCCCTAAAATATAACTTCTTCACTAATAAAGGAGTTTCAGGAACCCAGGGAACTATACCCTGACCCCAAACTATAGGCAAAACGTTGTGTGTTTGTAGATGTGCATTCTTCTAGGGCGAAGGTCTACAGCTTTCCTGAAATTCTCAGCAGAGCTGTGATTAAAAAATAAACACTGCTTAAAACTAGTTGTCTGACCTCTCTCACATTCCCAAGGAATGCATGTTTGATGGTGAGGCTGGGTGTTGGTGACTATTGGCCTCAGCTGGAATGTTCTCAAAACCAACTTTATTCAAGAAAGCACAGTGGGGTGCCTGTGGAGTGTGAATGCAGAAAGCAGGCTTTCTGAATTCTAGGGGAGAACTGTTTCTCGTCTGTAAGCTTATTCACCATCAAACTGGAAAAGTTACACCAAGAATAGTATCTTAAAAGTTATTCTTTTTAAAATTGTATGGAAGGCAGAGGTTTGGCCTGGACTGTCCTTCTTCTGTACTCTGTGAACCTGAGCACCTCATCCCAATTTCCCCATTGCCTGGTTTCTTTTCCAGGAACGGCTGTTGTAATTGTTCACAGCACCCACGACATAGAGGGGCTGTGAGAGAGACAATCAACAGGGCGTTGGTTAATCCTGAACTCTTCAGGGAAAATATAAATGTTAATTGAAACAGAAGAGTGACCTAGAAAAACCCACTTGCAGAAGAGCTGTCTGCCAGTCACACTGATGTCCTCCCTTCATGTTCCCGGGGCCATGAAGAGGGGAGTGGAGGAGAGGGTCACCGTGCCGAGCACAGCTGGAGCCTGTGAATGCTCGCACTGTCTACAACGTGAAACAGAAACAGCAGCACCTTTTAATCTAATCTAGTCAGACAGTAAACATTGAGAAAGTGTCTAGGCAACAGCTGGTCCAAATACATTTACATTTAGCTTAAAGGATGGAGATGAGAGAAGTTGGGGTGTTACTATTGAATTGGAGGTGCCCAGCCTCCCTGAAGTTCAATGATCATATGGACTTGCCAGTAGTAATTGCCCGCTGTCACTGTCATTTATGCTGAGATATTTCATTCTGCATGAGCATAATCACTTTAGTTGTTGGTTCTAGGAGAAGGGGTAGCAGCAAACTCAGGTGCCCTACTATTAGAGATCAGGTGTGGCATTTGGGTCAGCACAGAGAGAACCCAAAAATGTGTTAAAAACTCTGATGTGCAGGTATGACTCTCCCAACCGGAGGTAGCTCCCGTGAACCCGTTGAAGCAATGTTTAAAGTATCACAGCTCCAGTACTTTTCTCTCCCCAACCACTGTTGGATCAGCCAGGTCACTGCATGAATAATTTCAGAGATCTGATGATAGGGTCAAAGCAGCATATCCAATTTCTCAATTTATACCCACTTCCTTTTAGTATATGTTGACACATAAGCCATTTTCTTGAGATTTTGTAAGGTCTTAACTGGTCTCGTCTCTTACAGAGTATAATAAAGAGTGTGCTGTTCCTTCATCCCTTGGCACAGTAAATTCTCCTGTTTTCAAAAATATTTTGAAAACCACTAAACATATGCCTTAAACCTACAAATACCAGATATTTTGCTGGAGCAAATTAACTGCCAGAGAAAAGAGCCTAAGGAAATTTAGGGCTGAGCAGAAGGAAAAAATAAAAATATCTAAAGCTAAAAATAGAAAATAACCTAGTCTGTGTTGCCAGTAGTGATATTAAATTGCAGTGTAGAGAGGCAGTTTATTTGAATATATATGTCTGTGTGTGTGTGTGTGTGTGTGTATATATATCTAAAATTCAAGGTATATGGGGGGGATGGTGGGAGATATACTTCAGTATCAACAACATCCTGCAGGCCTCTCGCCTTTTGAGATGGACCACATTCTGTCTACGGAATGTGTATCTCTCTAAATAAATACACTTCTCACCTAAAAAAAAAACAGAAACAAAAACATCCTGCATAATATATCTTTTTATTTGTAGACATTGGTTATTATCCCACTTGTATATATTATACTCTATGAGTACAGACATACACAAGCACGTATACATAAATTATATCTATCTGGTATGTCCTCTTAGGTGTAAATATAACATACAATTGGTGGTTGTTATTTAAACAACTGAAGGAAGAGTCACCAAAATATTAATTTATTATATGCTGTTTATAGGGTGCTTAAACAGAATGTCATCAAACTCCACAATGACCTTAAAAGGGTCACTACTATGGTGATTTAATTTGAGAGATGAAGAAAGTGAGGCACAGAGAGGTTAAGTAACTAGACCAGATGTACACAGCTGGTACCTGGGCATAAGCCCAGGTGGTCTGACAGGACATGGGCTGTTTCTGTGTGTGCATCCTGGTGGCCAGTGCTCCCCAGACAATGGCCCCATTACTCAGAGAGGACCGTGAACATTAAGGGATCTGGAGGCTTCCAGGAGAGCGTGGGAGTGTGTCCCCTCCCCACTGCCACCACACTGAGCTTCTTAGTAACTGCATCACTCATGTATTAGATTCCCTAGAGTGAGATTTCCAGATGTTTCTGGAAGAGATCCTACTCTCTATTCCCCTCAAGACTTAACTTGTAGCAAGCAGGAGCATCCTGTAGGGAGAAAACTTAGCCTCTGCTGTCACTGCCCTGGGGTCTGTTGCTGATCTGCTCTTACTGGAAAACCACTAGTGTTCTTCAGAGTGGATGGCCAGGACCATAAGAGCACAGAATAGAGGGAACAACCCTGGTCTCAGCTCTGCTACCCAGATATGTTACTAAGCTTTCCCGAGGCTGAGTTTTGTCATCAGTAAAATCAGGGGAGAAAGAGAACTCCTTTCTCGAGCAGCGGTCATTATTCACAGTGGCTCAGTGTATCCTGGTACCATATTCACTCCTGGTGGCCTTGTGAGGCAGATAATATCCATGTTAGCAGGTGAGGAGCACAAGGTTTTAGGGGTAGATAACTGTCCTTGATCAAGGTGTGGCCCTTCTCTGTTCACAGGGGACACCCTCAGTAGGTGATGTCTGAGCCTCCTTTCAGCTCTGCATGGAATGACTCTATAACTGAGTTTCACAATGAATATGGAATAGTGCAAAGGAAAGGCATCCCTTGAAGTTTGAAAAGGGTAGTTTTAGGATAAATACAAAAGACATTAATGTACATTTCATACAACTTTATACCAAGCTTATAATTAAAGCTTATAATTTAAAATGTAGCATGGCTAAAATTTTGAGATATATTTAAGAATAGTTGAGAGAAAGCAAAGGGTGATTTCCCCTAACAGAAGTGAAGGACTACAGAACTTTGAGAAACAACCATCTTGTTCCACAGAGGATGCCCAGGAGCCACCTCTGATACAGATCTGTTGGCTTGGAGGAGGCTTTGTAGAGAACATTTTCAAGTTACAAGAAATTTAGAAACAGGCTTCGAGAGATGTCAGCCAACTTTTAAAAAATTTCACTCATGTTCAAATGGCTTAAGCGATACAGGTGTAAATCAGAGATATCACACAGTTCCTTACTTTCTATGTGAAGCAAGCCACGCTGTATTTTAATATAGCTTCTTGATAATGACTTGCTTATTTGCATCTGAAAAATTTTGCTTGATCTACGAACTTAAATGAACAGGTATACCATTGGGATGGATAGGGTTTAAATGACAAGCTGGTTCATCTTATATATGTAGTAAAAATTAATTCTTTCTTAAGATTCTTTTTTTTTTTTTTTTTTTTTTTTGCGGTACGTGGGCCTCTCACTGTTGTGGCCTCTCCCGTTGTGGAGCACAGGTTCCGGACGCACAGGCTCAGCGGCCACGGCTCACGGGCCCAGCCGCTCCGCGGCATGTGGGATCTTCCCGGACCGGGGCACGAACCCGTGTCCCCTGTATCGGCAGACGGACTCTCAACCACTGCGCCACCAGGGAAGCCCTTAAGATTCATTTTTAAAAACATTTTTAAAAACCTCCAAAGTGAGTTAAATTGTTGAAAAAAAATCAAATTGAACTCTTTTTCAAAATATTTTGAAGTAATTAAATCTTAGAATATTGGAGCAGGAAAATATCCTGGTCAATTAGGACATTCAGTTCAATTCCATCCATTTACTATGAGTCACATGAGGCCCAGAGATGCAAAGTGAACTGCCTCACATCACAGTTTGTTAGTAGCTGACCTTGAACTACTGGGGCCAGCTCAAGACTCTTTTCATCATACTTTGTTATTGTCCCTAAATAAAGCTAACCAAAGCCACAGTAGAGAGTCACAGAGGTTAGCTGAAGGACCCTGGGAGGTCAGTTCATCTTCCTCACTTTTATAATTAAGACATCTATGACAGTCAGGATTAGAACACAGTTCTACTGTCCCTCAAAATCAAACTTTCCCTACAATGCTCTCACTGAAAGAAGCAAGGTGCTACATCATCACTTCCATTGTTTTTCCTTTGTTGGAAAAATCTGTATCAGTACAAATGGTTACCAATATAACTACTACTCTTATTTTTATTTTTCATAGCTGTCCCAGTTAAATCAGAGTTGGCAGTTGAAATTTTGGAGAAAGGCCGGGTCCGGTTTTGGATGCAGGCTGAGAAGCTGTCTGGCAACGCCAAAGTCAACTACATAGTTAACGACAAGGAAGTTTTTGAAGGGCCGGTAGGTTTTACACTTTTTAGATTTCTAAACATATCATTGTAGAATGTGCTGGGAAACCCCTATTAGAATGCAGATAAGTTGTTAAGAAAACCACTGGACGTGGGGTGAGGGGGTTTAAATCATTTCACATGTGAAAAGTGTGGAAGAAAATATAGATTGATTATATCATATTATCCAAAACTAGGATACTTTTGAGAATGAAAGAAGATGCTAGTAATATTTTTTCCAGGATAACAGTCATCAACCAAAACTGTCTCAGGCAAATCAGGAAGCTGGTCACCTATGAAAAAAACTGAAGGCAGAGGGGCCAGAACCCTTGCCTGAACACAGATACTCACATCAGAGACTCCAGTGGCGTCTTGGTTCTTCATATGGAAGAATTGTTCTAATGGCTCAGAAAAAAATGTAAAAAAAAATCTCATTGCTTTTCTGATTAAAAATACAATTCATCCTTATTGTAAAAAACTTTAAAGACTCAGAAGAGACAAACCACAAATTCTTACAACTTTTTGATATACATATTAATATATACTTTTGGTCTTTTTCTATACTTCTATGTGTGTATGTCAATTTGTGTATTATTTACATAGGTGATTATGTATATCATATTTACTATTTCTTTGCTTTTAATGTAAACATAGTTTCTATAGTTAGAGTTACAACATCTGCACTTTATCTGTCTTCCCCAGACATCAGTAGAGCCAGCATCAGGCTTGTGCCTGGTGGTACTGAAGAACTTGGGTTTAGGGGCCCTGTCTCATACCTGTCTTCTCATGGGTGTAAATGGGAGACTAAAAAGATGGGGGAGAGGTGTGGTTTGTGGCCATGATTAACAACCTGTTCCCCTTTCATCAAAATGTGTTTTTAAAAAATATTTGAGGATTCATTAGTTAGAGGGAGAATGAGTAACATGAATAGCAGAAGAATATGCAGTGTATTACTTTTCAACTCATGTAGTAACTGTGTGAGAGCAGGAACAAGTCACACATGGGTCCACTGTGGCCCATCTCCCTGTTTTCAAAATGTTCTCATCCACAGCGGTGATCACCATCTGGCCAGTGGAGAGGAAGGAAGAGCCTTGATGGCATCACTGCCACCACAGCCATTGAGGGAACACTCGTGCCCATGTGTGTAGAGGCACTGCCCTTCATGTGTTCACACATGCATGTGGCACATGCACACACACACACACACATACACACACACACAGAACTTGAAGAGCAGTTTATTGTCATTGCAATTGGTTCTAATCATACTATTTCACTGGGTGGAAATTACCGTCTTAGGTCAGGTTCCCTAGGAGAGTCTGAAATAGAGTTTCTCCTTCAAGTGGTTTATGGGGGTTACTCTCAGGGGTAGGAGTGAGGGACACAAGCCAAGTTATGGGGCAAGCTAATCCAAAACGGGGTCTCTGTTGAAGACTGGCTCCCTGCAGGGGAAACTCCAGGGCATGAATTGCACCACAGAGTTGATCCCAGACCTGAGCCTTCATTCTGTGACATTTTATAGGAAAACTTCATTGTTCAGATCTGTTATGGAACTTGAGCTTGGAAGCCCAAGGACTAAGACTTATCTTTACATTGAAAAAAATGTTGCTTGAGGAAGATGATAAAATAAGCACAGTCTAGCAGGGCAATTTCTGTTCATTAAGAGCAAATGGGCTTCCAATGCTTTAGAAGCATTTTTATCCATGTATTAATTCAGCAGATGTTTATTAATTGGCTGCTATATTCCATGCTTGTGCTACATGCCAGGGGTATAGCAATGATCGAGACAAACACTTCTCTCACGTCGCTTATAGTTGTTGCATTATTCTGTTAATTGAAAATAATGTAATCTGGAAAGAAAAATGAGAATCTAAAAACAACTTTTTGATAACATTTTGTGATTTGGGGTAACAAAAGTTTATGTTTAAAAAACTAAACGTCAGACTTTTAGTAATCAGTTCTGGTCAGCATCATATATTCCACATAATATTTTCCTTTTTCTGTGTACAAGATTTTGAAACTTTGCTCACTTAAAATAATGTTAACAAGAAACTATTAAATTATGATACTTTGGAGTTTGTGTGTTTATTTTATATGGCTTATTGTCATCCTATCTATCTCACTTATTTCTCTCTTTTACTTGTCACATTGAAGAAATATAAGATGCATATTGACCGAAACACTGGTATAATTGAGATGTTTATGGAAAAGCTACAGGATGAGGATGAGGGCACATATACTTTCCAGGTTCAAGATGGAAGAGCAACTGGCCATTCTACTCTTGTTCTCATTGGAGATGGTAAGTGTTCTGTGAAACATCATCTGGAAGATTTTGCTACTCCCTTCAATGCAAATACGCCATCGCCCGAAAGTGACCATGTGGGAGGAAGTAAAAATTATTTCTTGATTAGATTCCAATGTTCAAAGTGCAATTTGCAATTAATACTTTCCATAGTATTTCGTTTCATAAAACTGAAAGTTGATTTAAAAGGACACCAAAGTTATCACTGGCCCACAGGCAATACCACACTTAAATTATCTCATATATAAACAAGTATTTATTACTAAAATTCTCCAGTGAAGGATATTGCAATACAACCAAGGCAGTATTATGTCTCAGAAACAAACTACGATACTATCTTATAATGTGCACCTACTTTAAATTACTTAAATGAAGAAGATAAACATGCAAGAGTAGAGGATGCCAAATCTAATGGAGGATTATCCGTTAGAACTAGGTTGTATGACAGCTGTCATAAGCCAGTGTGGAAATCACCAAGATTTAAAATGTGATATTTGATAAAGCAATGGAAAGGCTGGCCAGGTCTCTACATTTGCAATCGCCAAAGCTGTTTCACTATTTCCTGACTTCATGACCTTGAACAAGTTTCTTAACCTTTCTAAGCCTTTTTCTTCATCTATGAATACTGAAAACAAATAGGGTGGTCATGGTGTATGAGTGTTATAACAATGAATATAAATCACTTAACGCAGTGACTGGCATGTACATGTATACCACTCAACTCAATTTCATATTTCCTCATTTTTCAATTTTCAGTTTATAAAAAGCTCCAGAAAGAAGCTGAATTCCAGCGTCAAGAATTTATCAGGAAACAAGGTAAACATAGGCAGTGAATAAAGAGAAAAGCTTCAATTTCTTGAACAAAATATTCCAAGATTATTTCCGTAACAAATTAAATGAATATTATTGCTTATGTTAATAATGCCCTGGTTAATAAAAATAATTGAAAAAATATTTATTATTAAATATGTATCCGTTTAAAATATTTAAAAACTAAATCTTGAATTTTTAAAATTTCCCTTTAGATGTAAATCACCTTAGAATTTAAGAATGAGCTTGGAATTTTGCGTTCATGATTAATATTGCTGATTGCTGATATTATTAAAATTTTATAGGTCCACATTTCGCTGAGTATTTGAGCTGGGAAGTGACTGGTGAATGTAATGTACTATTGAAATGCAAGGTAAGAAGTAGATAAATTTCTAATAATTTGATACAAGGGAAATAAAGATAAAATAGAATGTGAGAAGAAAAGGAAGATCAACTTTTTATCTCCTCTATTTGCACCAAAATGATAAGTGACGTGCCTTTACTGTTGAATGTTACTGTTGGTTGGTAAGAAATATTTAAAATAAAACAACATAAAAATATGGGAAGTCAAGATGATAGTTTTTATTCATTACTCATGCCCTATTTAATAAGGACAGAGTCTCCTTTTTTTTTTAATTAAGACCACTTTTTTTAGAGCAGTTTTATGTTAACAGCAAATTTGAAGGGATGGTGCAGAGATTTCCCATACACCCCTGTCTCTATATACACATAGCCTCGCTCATTATCAACATTCCCACCAAAGTGGTACATTTGTTACAACTGATGAACCTACATGGACACATCATTACCCAAAATCCATAGCTTACATTAGCGTGCACTCTTGGAGTTGTACATTCCATGAGTTTGGACAAGCGTGTAAAAACATGTACCCGTCCTTATAGTATCATACAGAGCATTTTCACTGCCCTGAAAAGCCTCTGTGCTCTGCTTGCTCGTCCCTCACTAACCACACCCACCAACTCTTTTTCAGTTATTAATCTCAGGAGAATCTCTCATCATCTTCGTTGCATTCTAAGTGGTAGATCTATTCCAGAATCATTCCAGCCACACTGTGTTTCTGTGGAAGTTTGGCAATTTTTTAAATCTAAATTGTGTGTCTTGCACAACAGTACCTTCGAGTCTTGGGCAGCTCTGCTGCTGCTTCTGAAACCCCTGTGCTCCCTTGAGGGGAGAGGTTTGGTAAAGAGTTTGCAGCTCACAACCAATTATCTTATTAGGCCTTTGAAACATTTAGGAAAAAAAAGTTGCACATAACATTCTAAATTATCATGTACCTGAGTGTATGGTGTGCAGCTCCGTGAGTCATCAAACGTTTTTGGATAAGAACTGCTGGGTGAGGTTGGAGTGTGAAGGCTGTGATGGTGGACAGTGACCCCAAAGCAGATGCACAGATTTGGCGTTTCACACGTAGTTGTCATTATAAAAGCCAGAACGCAAATACTCCGGTCTTTGCTAAATCTGACAAATTCAAAGAAACAGCGGTCTACCAGAAATGTATAGGAAAAACCAGTGCTGGATTTTAGCCTCTTAGGAAATGGCAGAGCTTCTTGAAAAACACTTTCTCAGGCAGCAGCTAAAACCCGCAGCACCTCTCTCTCCTCCTGACTGTCCACAGCTGCGTGCCTCTACTTACTTTTTCCTCACACTGCCCTCCCCAGAAACCATCCCTTCCTCAGGGGCCCCCACGTCCGTGCATCCTTCTTTCTGTGCTTCCTATTGCACTAGGCTTCTGGGAAGTGAGTTCTGCAGCCCTATTCTGAAGGTTTTCCTCAAGAGAATCAGCCCCTTCCCCAGATCCTGACCAACCACAGGAGCCTAGAAGTAGGTTCTGACTATTCATTCGTTATGTATTCATGACTTCGAATGGCCTTCTTCTTTCAGCTTCTCTGACACGATCCTTTTTCAAGGCCCAACTCAGTCATCTCCTCTGTAAAGCCTCCCCCTTCTCAGTCTGGGTAAAATGAACCTTCCTCTGTCCTCCCACAGTTCTTTGTTTCATTATTACAGCAATTTATGTACATTTAGCAATTTACATATTGCATGAGAGTTGAGGGAGTATGTGCAGCCAAACATTCAGACTCTGAGACTACCATGGGCCCCACTTGGAGCTAGTCTACTCCAAAGAATATGGACAAGAACCCCAGCTTGCCTACAGGGCCATGCTGGGCACTCCTGTCCTGCAGGAGTCCACATCAGGAATCACTCCCTTCACCACCCACAGGTGACAGCTCAGGTGCAAGGAGACGAGCTCCACTTTGGGCAGGTGCAGGAAATGCCATGGCTTTAAAAAAAAAATCCCTCGTGCCCCAAGGGGCCAATACCTCTTGTAACACCACCCCAAGCGGAGCTTCCAGGGTCCCCGCAGGGACCATGTCCGAATAACAAGAGTATATTCAGGGAAGCCCAAAGCCACGGAGTCCATTTCTAGTCCCGCCCAGCCCAGTGGTAGCTTTCCCATCTGCGGGGCATGTTTATCATAAGCAATGTTGCCTAGTAACACAGTTAAAACCCAGGAACCAGTTTACAGGATTATAAAGAAAGTTTGTGTGTTCTGGTTTCACTGCAGTTACAGTGTTAGTTCTTATGTTGATGTATTAGCTGAGATTTTTTTTTTCTTTTTTGAAACTTACATTTCCTTGTCTTTAATGAGATCAAACATTTTCTTCATCTGTTTGTTCTGTAATTATCTTTCCTCTTTGGGAAATCATACATACATTTGTCCAATTATGTAGTGGGGTCTTTGAGATTGTTTTCTTGATTTGTATGAAGTCTTTACTTTTTCATATAATTTTAATTACACAAGAAATACATGAATATACTCTTCTTCATAGAAAGTTCAAGCATTGTAGATAAAGCTTAAAATCCCTTTAATCGTATGAAGTCATTTTGCCCATTTGAAATTTATGATACGATGTGTGGATATTGGATCTAAATGAGTTTCTAAAAATTGCCAAGCAATTAATTTATTAAACCATACTTGATGGATGCTAACTGAACTCACTGTGTTAATCATTTCACAATATATGCATATATCAAATCATTATGTTGTATACCCTAAACTTATACAATATTATATCAATTATATCTCAATAAAACTGGAAAAATTTTTAATTAAATAATTTTAAACATATTTCCTTTCCACATTTATTTACAAAGCTTCATTTACCTTTTAAAAAATATTTAGCCATAGATTGGGGCTTAGTCATTCTGATACTTTGATAAAGTCATTTGTTTTTGTGACACAGACTATATTTTAATCTGATGGGATTTATCTTCCTTTGGTTTTCAAATTTTTATTTTTACTTAATTCTGTATGTTAATATGTATGTTTCTATGTTTTCTTGTCCACCAGGTGATTTTAAAGACAAATTTTTTTCTGCTGGAAATAAAGATGCTATTGATTTAGGTTTATTCTTTTGTATCCATTTTATTTTAAACTCTTTATCAGTTAAAATAGCTTTCAATTGATTCCTCTAGAAATCTATGCTTTTTCTTATATCCAGTGCTACATTGAGAATTATTTAGTTTCATAAGAGTAGCATTCCCTTATTTCGAGAAGTATAACTACAGTTTTTCTTCTAGGTGGCAAATATTAAGAAGGAGACTCATATTGTGTGGTATAAAGATGAAAGGGAGATATCAGTGGATGAAAAGCATGACTTTAAGGACGGTATATGTACCCTCCTTATAACAGAGGTAGGTGACTATAAGTATAAAATGTAATGTATTAGTTCTGTACCCTACATTCTTCTAAAATACAGAGACTAGATTATGTGTTCCTTAGCCCCGGGCAAAGATCCCTGCCCTAATGTCACCCCAAAAGCAAGCTGTAAGGACACAAAGGCTTCTCTCACCTTGTGATATGCAAGGATTTGTCAGATATCCAAACAATGTTGGCTGGACACCACAATTCTTGCCTCTCTGAGCTAGTTTTTTTCATAGATGGGTGAGTGGCAGGACAGTTAAGTGGATCCTTCTTTGTTTGCTCTTAAGCCTCATGATAACTTGTTCCCTAAAGGTACAGAGACGATCATAGTATTCACTTAAGTATAGATTTTTATCTACTCTTTGTCTAAAAGAGCATGCCTTTCAAATACATGTGCTCATTAGTTTTTAATATGAAGGCAGAGTAAAAGATAAGGACTTTAAGCCTCAAATCAATTGTAGCCTTAGAGGGTGAAAACTCAGGACTGCTGGCTGGTCAGGTTATGATGGATAGTTCACGTGCGAACTGTTCATTGCTCTCATGGCTGGATGCTTGTTCAGTGTGTTTTGACGGCAGTTCTATAAATCTCAGGGCCTGAAAGATGCAAACACCATATTCTGAGGCTACAATAAGTTGTAATGTGGTATATCTATTCCCCCCTTAGTTTTCAAAGAAAGATGCTGGGATTTATGAAGTTATCCTGAAAGACGACAGAGGAAAAGATAAGAGCAGATTGAAGCTTGTGGATGAAGGTCAGTCCACCCACTGCTGGGGTCCATTCTGTGTGTTCTGTATACAGGTGATCAGAATTCTGAGTGAGGCTGAGCTGAATGATTGAAGTCATGTTGATCTTTTGCCCACAGATTTTGTTTTAATTGCCCTACCAGCTGAGCGAACTACTGTTTTATTAAAAAATACTTCACTTTTAGTCTTCCTTGAAATCAGAAGTATAGTTTTGATCCTCAGAGAATTTATAGTCCACAATCCACGAGAGGTCTGTTTTCAATACAAATCATCATTTTTATTTCAACCCTATGAAAAATGTTCCAGGATCAAAAACTACCATGAAAGCATGTCTCAAAAGAGTCCACTCTCTAAAAGGTGGCAAGAAAGATTATATATGAAACTCGAAGCCTCTCAGTTAATAGCAGAGCAAGAAAGCAACTTCCATTTTCCAGAGACTACTGAGGACACTTATATCATGATAACGAAAACCTACATGGGATGCCCACATTTCCAGTTTTGTTCCTGAACAAGATCTTTAACAACGTTGCTAACGAACAGCAGAAGTATGCCTTTGATTTCCCTTCCTACTCCTTGTGGAGGCAGGACTAAATGTGTTTATTGGCTGAGAAATACCAGGGGACCTAGATGGTTATTCATCATGAATTGATGACACAGATAAGAACACTTCCTCTAATGTAAATGAAGCCTTCCTGGGACTTAGGAAGATGAGAATCCTAAAACCAAGAAGCTTCCTGGAAATCTCATTGTGGCTCTTTCTCTAGAATGTAAACATGGTGACAGTTACAAAGAATTCAAGGGAGCAAAAATATCAAAATAAGAGCAGGAATCTTTTGAAACTTGATAAAAATTAAGTTCTTTGTTACCAATTGGTCAATAAATTCACCTTGTGACTGGATGTTTTTGAGAGCAAGTGTGACTAACAGTTTGAGATTTGACTTGACATTGAGCATTTTTATGCTAAAACTTTGTTTGTGAATCTCTATCCACAGCCTTTAAAGAACTGATGGCTGAAGTATGTAAAACAATAGGTAAGTTCTCACAGGGCAGTGCTTCATTCTTCTCCAGGATGGGCTTACAGGTGTTTGAAATAATGTGTTTTCTTCTTGCAGCTTTGTCTGCAACAGACCTGAAGATCCAGAGCACAGTTGAGGGCATCCGGCTGTACTCTCTTGTTACTTACTACGTGGATGATCTGAAAGTTAACTGGTCCCACAAGTAAGTAAATAACAACGTAAATGCTGTGTAGAAATTCTTTCTCCACTCAGGGGAAGGACTGGGAAAAACAACAACCCTCTGTTCCTCTCAGGTAAGGTGTCTTCTTACTTCTCGGGTCTGATGTTGATGCGTGTAGGACAGAAGCACCAGCCCATCCCTTTAGCGTGAGGTTAGCACTCTCCCTCAGCACGTACATGGTGAGGCCAGCGATGGCTTAAAGCCTCTGTCTTTGTGATCTGGGACGTATCATAACTCGTAGACGCCTCGGTAACGTGACCTCTGCCTCCGTACAGTCATGCTTTGCCAGATTCTTATTCCATCTTTCTACACACTCCTAAGCCATGCTGTGCTCTGGAACAAAAGTGGGGCAGCATTGCACCAGATTTCCTGTTGTATGAATTAATGGCCAATGACCCAATAAGCCTGATCTAGAGCAGTGCCCGAGTTTATCATCGTTGTTGTTCGTAGCAGTTGGCAGAGTGGGTATTAGCACGTTTCCTTGGAAGGCTTTGGAGATCTCAAGATGACTTTGGGAATGTGTATTTGAACTGGATTGAGCCTGAAGATCTGTTCTAATCCCAGGCTTCCTTCGCGCAGTTACAGAGGGATTTCACTCAAGTTTTCCTTGGGGATTCCAAGAGCTAAAGTAGGTTTCTTAGTCAAACCAGGTCTCCCACTTACACCATCACCAGGGTCCTTGATTTCTGTGCTTCCTTGAAATTTCCTGAGCTGAAAGAGGACAGCAGTCTGCCAAAGAAACATGTCCCTTTAGTCCACTCTTGGGATGCAGCAGATGCCAGTTCCCGAAGTCCTTGTGAGCCTCACTGAGGAGAAGGTCGCCGTGGCACCCCTGGGAGGATCTTCCCTTCAGTGGACATTTACAATACGCTGGGCACTGCTCCAGGCCCTTTAGATGTGTGAATTCATTTAATATTCAAACTCTACGAAGTAGGTTCTTCTCACTTTAGCGACTAGGAAGCTCAGACTCAGGGAGGTGACTTGCCTGAGGTCACACAGCTATGTGACAGGTGGAGGGCTGAGCCCAGGCAGCCTGGCTCCAGAGCCCCTGCCCCATCACGGCAGTACCCCGGGTTCAAGTTGCATTAAAAGTCTAGACTGAACATTTAAGCAGAGCTGGGTCCCACAGAACAGTCATTTGTGTTTTCTCTAAAATGACTTCACTGTTTTAGAATAGTATTTTATTACATTTATTATCATTACTAATAATTCCCTGAGTTCTTTAAAAAAAAAATGAGAACAAGTGAAATTCCACTTTGAATGCTTGGAGTTTCATGCCTTTGTTCTATTTCTTTCAGAATACATTTTAGGAAAGTAATTATAAGTTAAAATAGATCAAATTCTAGGAAATTCCTCCGTGACATCTAGGACATTCTAATATATCCCTCTGAAGAATGAGACGATAAATTAATTGAATCATCAATCAAAAGGCTTTACATCATCTCTAAAAGAATACATGTTCAAAAAAATTAGAACATTGGGTTTTGAGGAAACTGCTCCCAGAGTAACAAGACATAAACTTTGTTTGGTCTAGTCAGCTAAATGCGTGTTTTGTGTGCACACACACGTGTGCCTGTTAAAGGCTCAGGAACCAAGGACTGGTTGTCTTCCCTGTCTTTATGTAAGTATGTGGTGTGATGAGGAAAAAAACCTTGAAACGGGTTTGGATCTTCACTCTGCTCCTGTCTTCCCTTGGATCTTAGACAAGTCATCTAATTTTCTGAATCCCAGGTTTCTCTCATATAAAATAGGAGCAATAATACCTGTTCTAGCTCATAACACTGATGGACCCAATGAGAGAATGAATGGCATTTTGTGAACCGTGAAGTGCTTTACAAACCTAGCACCTATTAAGGTACTAGTATGCATATTAGCTAGAGATTAAAGAACTCAGACAGACTTACCATTAGCAAAGCTGAGAACTATCTGTCTTTCTAACTCTCTAAGACATATACTATATTGCTCAGGCTAACGTCTATGTGTACAGATGGGTTCCTTTACCCTACATTTTATGGCATTTTAATTTTAATATCTTTTAAAGAATCTAGTATATAAGAAAAATGCTGAATGTTTATTTGAAGTCTGAAATTTTTTTGGTGGAGATTTTTTGGGTTTTATTTTTTTAAGTTCATTTTGTTTATTACAACCACAAACATAATACATGTTTTAGAAAATATATTTAATATCATATTACAACTTAGAAAGAGTTTATACTATGGTATCATCCATGGTTTTCCTAGCCATAGTATGAACATTTTGGGGTACTTCCTTCTGGTCTTTATGCATAATTGTTACCATAATAAAGTAGTTTTGTATGCTGCTTTTTTTTCTTCCTTCTCACGTTTACAAACTCTTCATAGAGTTTATTTTAACATCATTGAGAGTACACTACCTCTGCCTTCCTCTTACTTCATCTGTAACAGTAGCATTTCTAGACTGTCAGATGAAAGGGTTCTATTTGCTTTTATTCTCTTGTAAAGAATACAATGCATGGGTATGCTCGTGACCTACTATAGAATATGGGGAAACTCACATCCAGGGTCAGAGAAAGTGCCTCATTCATTCTGACAGCAACTCTGCTTTTCATTTATTCTTGGCTGTACTACTGAGTGCACATTTATGTTTGTTTTAAATAGCTTTGTAACCATGTGTGTCAATAGATGTCAGCCACAGATGAACCTCTTTAGGTCTGTTTTTAACTAGCCTGTAAAATCCCATTTATAGCCACGGACCATCTGCATGAAATATGCAGTAATATAATATGGACTTTGGCCTTCTCACTTTAAAGATTCCCTTAGTCCTACAAATAAACCTGAGTGGAAACAAAGATAATTAATACCCCTGAGAAGTATTGGTGCTACAATCTGGGCCCCAGACTGCTGTTGGGAGTGAAATATGCAGACTGCCAGACCCCCACCCCAGGCCTTGGAATCCACGCTCTGTGATTCAGGGCCCATAATTTCTCTGAAGCAGAAGAACATATGCCGATCCCATGTTATTTCAAAGTCTGTACAACTTTATGGTAAGACCTTCAGTAAGAGGAGACAAAGTAAAGATAAGCTCTGGATGAAAGCCAATGATTACGATGTTTTCTTTTGATAAAAACAGCGGGACTGCTATTAAGTACACAGACAGAGTTAAGAGTGGGGTCACCGGGGAGCAAATCTGGCTGCAGATCAACGAGCCCACTCCGAATGACAAAGGGAAATACGTGATGGAGCTCTTTGATGGCAAAACTGGACACCAGAAGACAGTGGATCTTTCTGGACAAGGTAAACGGATATTCTGCAGGTTGGAACCTACTGTGGAGATGAGGGCATTTTAAAAAGAATGAAGTGTGATAAGAGGGCATTACGCTTGACTATTGGAAGATGATGGGAGATTTTAATAAAGCAGTTTAAATTCAGCCACGGTGGTAGAAGCAAAAATTCAATGAGTGGAGAATCAGTAAAAAGTAAAGTGGAGACAGTGAACGTGGAGAGGAAGCGCTGCTCTTCCAAGATGCTTACAGAGAAGGGCAGGTTGATTTACAATCAATTGAGCAAGAACAAACTGAAAAAGGATCATTTTATGGTGACTGAAAAGCGAGCATGTTCATAGAGTCCAAGAAATCAGTTGATTTGGAAGGATTGGAGATGTGAATGATGGGGAATAACTGATGTCTCAGGGTTCTGAAGAACAGAAGCTTGGAGTTGCGGGGCAGAGGTGAATGCAATGGCTTTGGGAAGGAGCAGGGATACCTTTTCTTCAGAAACCAGAAAGGAGTAAATGTGAATAAGCAAAGATAAATATTGAGGGGAACAGAGGGAAGTTAGAAAAGTGGCCTCAGATCTCTCAGCCTTTTGGGAGAATGAGGGGCTCTGGAAAGAATAGGGACATGGAGAAGAAAGTAATGAGATGCAGAAGGCAGTTTTCCATCTAAGAACAGACAGGAAAGGTGATATGCAGCTATTAATTAGAATTTTAAAAGTTAAAAAATGTACAATCACGAATAAAAAGTTAAAAACCCTGTGCCATTTCTCCCTCTTCTGGTACTTTGCTCATCTTACTCTTTCCTAAAGAAAGAAGGAGCTTGTATGAAGTTACCAAAGGAGACTGTGGGCTGCCTTTTCCTCTACGGCTTCGTATATTAAAATGCAATGACTCTTCATGTTTTCATCCTCAGAGTAGATTCACAACTTAGAGAGCAGCCTTTCAACCCTGCCCCGGGTTGTTTTGGGATGAATACCCCTCCCCTCACCCCCACCCACCCTTTATGACTGGAAAGGCTCCCTGAAGGATCTCTGTGGGGATGAGCACTTGGTCCCCCGGCCACCCTGTGCCCAAGTCACAGCCTGCAGAGATCGTGATGGGGAATTGCTTCTGCGATCCATCTGACACTTGGAGACACAATAGAAAAGGGAGACAAGACGTGGGCAGATACATTCAAAACTTATTTAAAATTTGCTTTTACTCTCTGCTCACCAAAGCTCATTTAACTACCCCACTCTCAAATCCCCCTTAAGCAAAAAGGCCCTGGATTGTCTGACCAGTGTTGCCACTGGCACCAAACACACTGGCTCAGCCGTGCCCATCTCCTTCTAGTGTGGCATGAGCAGGAAAAGCAGCCCTAACTAGCCTGCCTTAGCCCAGCTGGTCTAGAGGCTTTAAGCCTGGCTTTACGCTTATTTTTCCCTTCTGTAAAGAAGAGAGCAAACTAGTATTATGGACATATTTTCTAGACATAAAATGTTGTGATTCCCAGACCACAGAGGAGCTTAAAGACCAGGTGAGAGAAATTTAAAAGTGAAGCTTTATGGCCTGAAGTCTTCCAAGTGCCTTACTCGCAGGCTCAGGAAAAAGATAATTATCTTAGAGCTCCATAGCTCTCATTTCCTTGTCTCCCTGTCTTATTTTTCGTCTGCTGCACAGTGTACAAGCATCGCTTCAGGCCCGCACTGGCCCGCACTGTGATCGTAGTAATTCCTCGTGCCCTTTATCGCAAACGCACGGGCAGGACCACAGAACTGTCCGGCTAGGAGGCTGTGACGTGAGGGATGATTTAATGAGAGAAAAGCTTTTCTGATGCTCAGGATGCTTAATAGACAACCAATCATTTTTTGAAACAGACCTTTCTTTCCACTTCATCTTCGGCAGAGCAAATCTTTCCCTTTCTATTTGGAGGGTTGAAGGCTTCTCACTGAATTGAGAGCTTCTAAAATCCACTATTTCATGCTTTCTGCCTAGAAAGTGTTTGCTTCTCTTGTTAAGCCCATCAAGTTGTAGAGGGACTGCTCGGGCGCAGCCTCATTCAAAGCCAGCTGAATTTTGTCTGGACCGCTTACACTGCCCTACACTGGTCTATTAAAGGATGTGAGCTTTAATAGACCCCTGTGTGTGGCCAGTTCTGGGAGAGAAAATTCTAACTTCTCTTTTTTGTCTCTTCAAGCGTACGACGAAGCCTTTGAAGAATTCCAGAGATTAAAGTAAGTCCCTCTTTCCCAGCGATGCCACGGGCTCTCTTGTCTCTGATGCGCGCTGCTCCCCATTGGCTGTCAGAGGGTCTTTCATTCGGGCAAGCGCAGTCTGAGCAGCATTTCCTGCCGCTTTGTTGAGCAGCAAAAACATGAAATGCAGTCGAGGTTGGCTACTTTGAAGTCACACTAAAACAAAATCCTTCTTTCTTTGTGTGTTTGTTTGTTTCTCTCAACCACAGACAAGCTGCCATCGTGGAGAAAAGTAAGTAAACCCCTTCGTGTTTATTCCTGCTGTGGTTTCAAAATAAAACTTTTGTTTTTCTGTTATGACTGCAGATGTAGGAGAGTGAAAGCATTTTTTTTCCTTTTCTTTCATTTCTCTCTCTATATTTTAAATCTTAGGTGTTCTGCATGTGTTTTCATTTAGTCTCTTCAGTAGAATGTCTGTGAAAAGAAGGTCTCAGGTTACACTGTGAGAATGGCACCCAGCCTTGACTTGAAACACCTCTGGGCTGCAAATCACACAGTAGGATTTTAATCGCTTGCAGCAGGTGCCAGGTGTCAGAAAAATGTATATATGTTAAAGAGAAGAAAAAATAGGAAACTTTGTAGGTTTGGTATCAGGTGAATCGCTATAGCTGGTCCCCCAGCAAGTAGTCCCATTTTCCTGAGGGGCCAAATAAGGCTGAGTGACCCTGACCCAGCAGTCAAGCCTGTGTCCCTAAAACTGTGCTGACTCCTGACCTCTCTCAACCGTGCTTCACACAGAAATTTCTAGAACTCAGTCTACAGGATCCCAGGAGTCACAGACGAATCATCGTGATAACTCAGGTTCTTTCTCAGTGTGGGAGCAGAACCTGAAAACCGTTGAGGGTTAAAGTTGTAGGGTTGGCCCTGAGCTGGGTGGAAGGGAACCAGGAGGAAGAGTGAGAAGTGGAGTTGTCCACCTGTCAGTGGCTCCTGGTCACTCAGAAGGGAACTTTTCACCTTTGACCTGCAAGGCCTTCCTCCCTCCTTCCCCCTCCTTCCTCCCTCCCGCTCCTGCCCGGGGCTTGTGAGGCCGAGGCCAGCACCGGGCACAACGGGAGAGTGTCAGAGCCAGAGCCAGGCCTCGCCCATTCTTGAACTCTCTTGTGGACAAGGAGCCTGACCCTCCCTCTGCTTCATATGCTCCTTCCAGAGGTCTCTGGACCACAGCAGCTCAGAGCCGGAAGAGACCTGAGAGCCCTTCTAGCTCCATGTTCTTAAACATTTGCATAGAACACTTAGTTCAAACAAAATCTTCCCAATATATAAAATAGGTAAGAGCTGAATTACCTTCGGTGGAGTCAGGATGAATCCCAGCGATGCCACGGAGCAGAGTTTAGAAGCTTCATGTCCATGGGTTTAACGCAAGCCCCCCGCCCCACCGATGAGGACACTGAGGTCCACACAGCGACGTGACTCACCTAATACCACACGGCAGGTGGTGCAGGGGGCCAGGTGATGGGCTGGGCCCACAAGTGGTGTAAGGGCAACGGAGTCGGCAGGAGAAGGCAGTTAAGACTCATTCAAAGATTTGGCCTGACTTACTGGAGAAGGGATTGTGTTGATAGAAATAAGGAGGTAGAGTCACACATTCATTGAAGTAGGCTGAAAATGAGAGGGTGGCGGCTACTGCGTTAGTCTTGACTGAGTGACAGAAAGGTGTCCGTCCCTGGGGCCGAGGCAGTCACACCCACAGCACAAGGCTTGCGGGGGAGGGGCGGTGTCAGCCCTGGATTTCAGCACCCTTCCCACCCCCTGTCTCCTAAGCCATAGACAGGAGCTCTGCAGAGCATCTCAAGAACTCCCGGGAGATGAGGAAGGGGAACTCTCTAGGGAAGGCCCCAAGGAAAGCCCACATCTTCTCCAGCCTCCAGATCTCCCTGGCACACAGCCTCTGGTTATGCAACCTTTTCGAATCAGAGAGAAGCCCATGAAAGAGGCCAAGATCTGCTCTGCCTCCAGGAGAGCCAGGGCTGAGAATAGCCGGGAAAGTTACAGAGCAGATCTCTATACAACAGAGTGACCTCAAGTTGATATTTCAGGTACAGATAGAGGCACCCGTGTGTGAAGAAGAAGAACATTCAGAATGACTGGATCATTTTCTTATTTTGCATATTGAAAGCAGGCATAAAATAACTGCAAGGAGAGGGAAACTAAATGGGAAAATGAGTTCCTCTGGGAGGCTTTGTGCGTGTGTTTGCTGGCTCTCATCGTTTCAGTGATTAACCAGAAATGCCTGTGCTTGCAGATCGCGCCCGGGTAGTGGGAGGTCTCCCCGATGTGGTCACCATCCAGGAGGGCAAGGTAAGCATGGAGCACTCCCGTCCCCAATTCTTCCATGCTAGGAAGGGGTTCCAGTGCCCCAGACTTTGTTCCTTCTTTGAAGATGCATCCTACCATCTTCATCATATGCCACGGCTGCTTACGCCTGACTTCAGAATAGCCACATGCAAGGTTCAAAATGCAGTCAGTTTTCCACTCAGCTTAATGTTTCGTAGGTCAAGCATCAGGATGCACGTTTGTCTGATGTGGGTATATGTAGACCTCTTAGTCTCTTTCCAGAAGTGATTTCCCTTTAACATCAGGAGAAGCAGAAAATGTTCAGTCATAACTATGTGATGAACATAATTGAAGAAGCAACCTCTCACACCAGTAGAAAATGGGCTGACCTATGAGATTCCTCACCTTTGGAGGGAAACGTGCTGCTCTGTGAATTTCTACAGGCCCCTTCTCAGCTGAAAACTGATTTATTTCCATTTGGTTTTAAACTGGTATTTCTTGGATCCATAAGAATCTCTCTGAAGAGCAGTGAACGTAATTTCTAATCTGGATTCACTTTCTTCATCCCTGTGTTTCATTAAAACAAATTTAATATGCCAATCACAGGAGGAGGGGTGTTTGTAGTGGAACAACATCTTTTCCCACCTCCAAAGGGCAATGAAGACGTATGATGGGTGACTGGGACTATGATGATGAACAGGGCACATCTAAGGCTTTAATGAGAGGTCAGTTCATCCAGCTATGTTTCTTCGTGCCTGGAAAATAGGACCACAGTTGACTTTAAGCTCAACTGCTGCAGGGTTGCTTTTGTTTTGAAACTCTATTTTCCATTTTCTTCACCTAATGAGGTTCAAAATATTCAACTCACTGGGTGGTAGTGAGAGTTAAGAGAGAGAATGTATGTGAAAGCATCCCGTGATCTATAACTCAAATATATAGTACAGGTAAGAGTTTTCCTGGACACCTAAGGTGCATGGGAGTTTTGTTTAGTTTTGATAAAAGTTTTAATATGCACGAAATCACAGTTTCCCGGAACATACACGTGGTCTGCTTGGATAAATTCAATGTCGATAGTTTGACTCATATTTTTCTTGCTGAAATGTGTTTGCAGAATAATTCAGTGAGAAGTGCTAATTAATCATGGGAAGAAAACAAATTTCTTAATATCTACCCAATTCTAAATGATACTCTTACAGAAGAGGTAACAAGTGATCATATAAGGTCCTTCTAGATAGAAGGCTGTCCTTTTCCCTGTATATGGTGAGCCCTAGCTCTTTTCCTTATAATTTCTGGACTTCGGTAAGAAAAAAAATGCAAGAATGGAATTTAAAATGTGAAGTAAATTTAACATCTTTGGTCATCAGGAAAATGCAAATTAAAATCACAGTGAAATATCATGACACACCTATCAGAATTGCTAAAATAAAAAGACAGTGACAACAACAAATGCTGGTGAAGTTGCAGAGAGACTGCATCAGTCCTACATGGCTGGTGGAAATGTAGACCAAAATTATACAGCTACTTGGGAAAACAGTTTGGCAATCTCTTAAACAAATGAAATATACATTTACCATATGACCCAGCAATTGTACTCCTGGGCATTTATCTCAGAGAAATTAAAACTTATGTTCACATAAAAATCTGTACACAAATGTTCATAGCAGCTTTATTCATAATAGCCCCACACTGGAAACAGCCCAGATGACCCTTACAGGTATATACATACCATGGCACACTTTTCAGCAATAGAAAGGGACAAACTTGATACCTGCAATAACTTGGATGAATCTGCAAGGAATTATGCTCAGTGTAAAAGGCACTCTCAAAACGTTACATTACTGTATGATGCTATTTATATAATGCTTTGGAAATTATAAAGTTTTAGAAATGGAAAACAGATTAGTGGTTGCCAGGAGTTAGGAACAGCTTGGGAGGGAGAAGTGGGCGTGGTTATAAAGGGACAGCAGGAGGGATCCTTGTGGGGATGGAAAGGTTCTGTATCTTGACTGAGGTTGTGGATACATGAACCTAGACAGGTGATAGAATTGAATAGAACTAAACACACACAAATACAAGAAAAACTGGGGAAATCTGTTATGTCAATGTCAGTGTACTGGTTGTGGTATTATACTGTAGTTTTGTAAAATGTTACTATTGGGGGAAACTGGGTAAAGAATATACAAAATCTGTTATTTCTTATACTGTATATGAATCTATGATTATCTAAAAAATATTTCAACAAAAATATAAAGTAAAATTATAGGCCTAAACATTGATCTTTTAAAATAAGAGGGTTTCAGCACAGTTGGTAATATAATAAAATATTAGGAACTACAAATACATGCTGGCAGGGCACCTCTGCAACTGCAACAGCTCGAGTGGGTTTGGGGGGAGAAATAAAATGAGGAAGATGGGATATGAAAATGAGTCACATTACCTGAAGCAGCTGTTAGGATTCTGCTGCTGGGCCCAGTGACACAAATGAAATGCAAAAGCAAGCAGGTGGAGATCATGGCAACGAGGAGATTTCTCTACTGAGACAGAGTCCAAAACGCCATATTAGAGCAAAAAGGCATCTGTGTGTTTATGGGAACTGGAAGCAAATGCCTTTGTGGGGCTTTGATGATAAATGTTCCCAAAGCCAGAAAGCCAAGGCCCCAAAGAAACCTACTCAGGTGTGATTTCAGACTGTAACTCACACAGGTACACGCAGCCCGGCCCGGGAGGTTTAGGTTTATCCTCCGTCCGGTCAGGCCGACCCCCAGGAGGACGCTTCAAGTTGGATCGTTAATCTGATACATCTCCTCCCCTCTCATGAAACCTGTTTTCCAGGCGCTTAACCTCACCTGCATAGTGTGGGGAGACCCGACTCCGGAGGTCTCCTGGCTGAAGAACGAGAAGATCTTGGCCTCGGACGAGCACTGCAACCTCAGGTTCGAGGCCGGCAAGACCGCCTACTTCACCATCAGCGGGGTCAGAACGTCCGACTCGGGCAAGTATGGGCTGGTCGTGAAGAACAAGTACGGCTCGGAGACCAGCGACTTCACCGTCAGCGTGTTCATCCCGGAGGAGGAGGCGAGGACAGTCGCCGAGGAGCGCCCGAAGGGCAACAAGAAGGCCAAGTGACCGGAGGGCGAGTGGGCCGAGGGGGGCGAGCCACCCCGCACTGCCTCGGGCTACGTGTGTGCGAAGGGTTCGAGCTGAGCGCGAGGAACTCTCCGTGCTTCCTACTCCCTATTTTTGTGCTGGCTTTGGGGGTCGGGGGGGATTGTCAAATCTTTATTCATATAAGAAAGCACCAACTAACGACATTTTAATCGTTTTTCTTTACCTACAAATTGTGTTAAGAAAATAACATTGGTAGCGCAAATATTAGGAAACAGTTTTAAGGCAAAGAGCAGGGTAAAGTCAGAGGGCCGTTGAACGGGGGCGGGAGACACGTTCTGTGGAGCCGTCTGGACCCGCCAGCCTCTCAGCAGTCAGTTCTCCTGGTTCGCAGTGAGGCGGCAGCATCCAGTCAGACGAGACAAGCTATTAAGTCAGCCAGCCTGTGTCGTGTGTTGTAACAAGAGCCGTGTTGTTCTGTGGGCGGCCTGGCGATTTGGAAGCTCTGGGTCCTAATAAACAGTTCACACCCCTCCGCTCCCCCGTCAGTGCTTCTCTCCTTCTTACTGGTTTAGCTGCCCAGCTGGGTGGCCTCCGCTGGGTGACCTTTCTGGCCTCTTCTTGTAACACGTCTTCTGAATTTTAAATTCCTTTTGGTTGAAGCAGTGCCTTCACAACACAATCACATAAGGCATCCCAGGTCGGTTGATGCTCAGAGGTGTGAACTTGCTCCGTCGCTGTGCATCTGGTAGCTCACCAGGCGATCTGTCAGGTCTCCTCCATTGTTAAGATACCCGGAGTCACCGAATGTAATGTGTCAACAGAGGATAATAAGACGGCGTGGGGCGTCTAGCACCAGAATTGGCGACTAAGGCCACAGCTGAGAATAAAAGGCACTACAGGATGGTCACTCTAAGTTCAGAGAACTGCCAGGTCTGGGGCCTGCCCCTTGCGGCAGCGTTTCTGCTTGAGGGAATTTGGGCTTTCCCCACCCCTACCCCTAACCCCCAACCACCACAGACACACAGACACACACACACACACACACACACACACACACACAACACAGGAGGAAAAGAGTAACTGTGAAAGCCACCCCTGCCTTCGTCCTGTCAAGGGTCAGGGATGGGACGACAGAGTCCCTCACACAGTTTGGAGGGGCACGTACACATCCTCTCCTTTGCAAAGACCAGGACTGCAACTTGCCTCTCACCTGACTGTAGCCCCCACTATCGCCCTGACGCCAACCACCGGCAGGAGTGAGCTGCTGCCCTCCCGCTGTCAGACACGGCAGGTGGATGTTTCCCGGGGTCCCCTGGACCCTGCAGAAAGTGCCGGCCTGAGCAGGCTGACCTTCTCCTCCCAGGACGAGTGGACCCAGAAGGAAAGTGTTTAATTATCTAAAACATTACAAGTACATAAAAATCAAATATGCACAGACTCCATAAGGCAAAAATGCTCATTTTACCTAGATGTAGCCCCTAGAGCCTGAGACTGGAGTTCTAATACCCAGGCCAGAATGAGAGGCATGGATTCGGATCGCTTGCGATGGGGAACCGCACACCAAGACCTCAGCACAGCGCTGGGATGCACAAAAGGTGGTTTAGACAAAAAAAAAACAAGGATAGTAAAAATATCACCAGCTGACATGGAGAAGCTCTACTGAAGCTCGCCATCTGCCTGGGAGTGGTTCTGGGGAGAAAAACAAAGTTAACGGGTTCCTCAAGCCCGTACTGCATACTCGTGGGGTCCACATTTACAGCAAGCACCACATGGTATAGGTATCCCAAGCCAAGGGTTCCCATAAAAATGGCCAGTGTCTGGGCCCCAGAGAAGCAAATGTAAAACGACACTACAAGAAACTTCTGTGTCTGCCCACAAAGGATCGCTGTTATGGAAATTATCCTCCCACCATAAACAACTAGAAAACCAGGCACAATATATGTGGAAAAAAACTCTTTGGGGCGTTGGCTAGTGAATATGCAGGGCTGTGATGCCCCAGAGAAAGGGAAACAGTAACGAAAGACCTGTGATTTCTCCAACTTGGTGCCTGGACAGTGTTCAGGCTGCAGTCCAGCCAGGGGGACCAAGAGAGAACCTGTCAGTCTCACTGAGTTGAGGAGTTAGAGACTGAAGTTCAAGGAGGCTGAAGTGGCTGGGATTCATAGGAAAGGGCAATGGAGGGAAGAGTTGCACAGAGAGGAGCCACAACTACTGAGCCCACGTGCTGCAACTACTGAAGCCTGCGCTCCTAGAGCCCGCGCTCTGGGAAGAGTTGCCCAGAGAGGAGCACGGGCTGCAGCAGACAGGTCTCTGGCTGAGCGCTGCTCTGTGAGTGCGGGAGAACCCTGGGAGGTGGGGGGACAAGGAGTCCTGGGAGCTCACACAGACTGGGAGCAGTTCTCCTCCCCACCAGCCGGAATGAAAATGTTCAATGTAATACATGGAATATTGGGTAGAGGCTTCAGAAGTTGCTCACCTTAGTAGTGGGGCTAAATTAACTCTAACTGAAAGCTGCCCTGGACACACCCTCACAAAGCTTGAAAGCAGGCCTCCAGAGGATCAAATATCTATGGTCACCTAATAGTGTGTCAGGACAAAGTGCAGCACACTTTAAATGAATGCATCATCCAGCAGTGTGAAATTCATAACAGCTGGCATCCAATCAAAATCAGCAGGTGTGCAAAGAAGCAAGAAAATATGATTGATAACCAGGAGAAAAGTACATTAAAGATAAGTTCTGTGGATGTAATGTACAGCATGTAAATATTATTACAATAGTTAATAATACTGTACTGCATATTTACAAGTTCCTAAGAGAGTAGATGGTAAAAGTTCTCATCACAAGAAAAAGAAATTTGTAACTATGTGAGGTGTTGTTAACTAAACTTATTGTGGTAATCATTTCACAATATATACATATGTCAAATCATCATGTTGTATACCTAAAACTAATACAATGTTATATGTCCATATATCTCAATAAAACTGGGAAAAATATACACAAGTTTTATGGAAGTATCAAGAATAATTCATTATTAATTTAATACAATTTGAGCACATAATGAAAATTCAAAATAATTTTTAGTCATTTTTAACACAGTGCAATCCCAACAGCAAATGTAATCATAATTTCAATAAAAGATGCTTGAAATATGATGAGCTACGTGTATATAAGTTATTTGTTGGTAGCTTATAGGTATGTAACTTGAAATGGCATTGCTATAGTTTTATGATCATTAATCTAAGTTAGCAGAAGTCCACAATCTAATAAAATGATACATGAGGGAAAAAAGTATATTAATAAAAACAAAGCCAGAAATGACAGAGATGATTGAATTAGCAGACATGGACCTTAAAACATCTGTTATAACTATATTCTATATTTTTAAGAAGCCAGAGGAAATACTGAATATGTTAAGTAGAGACGTGGAAGAATACCAAGGCATATCATAATGAATTTGCTAAAAAACATTGGTAAAGAGAAAATCTTAAAAGCAGCCAGAGGGAAAAAGACAAATTATGTACAGAGGAACAAAAGTGAGACTAACGCAAGACTTCTCATAAGAAGCTATAAAAGCCAGAGGACCATGGAGTGAGATCTTTAAAGTGCCAAGTAAAAAGCAAACCAAAAACTCTCAACCTAGCATTCTCTACCGACTGAAAATATTATTTAAAAATTAAGGCAAGGACTTTCCTGGTGGCGCAGTGGTTAAGAATCTGCCTACCAATGCAGGAGACACGGGTTCGAGCCCTGGTCCGGGAAGATCCCACATGCCACGGAGCAACGAAGCCCACGCGCCACAGTGACTGAGCCTGTGCTCTAGAGCCTGCAAGCCACAACTACTGAGCCCACGTGCTGCAACTACTGAAGCCCGCGCGCCTAGAGCCCGTGCTCTACAACAAGAGAAGCCACCACAATGAGAAGTCTGCGCACCGCAACAAAGAGTAGCCCCCGCTGGACACAACCAGAGAAAACCCGTGCGCAGCAACGAAGACCCAACACAGCCAAATATAAATAAATAAATTTATTTTTTAAAAAATTAAGGCAAAACACTTTACAGTATCTGTCAAACTAAAGTGGAGAGGTCCGCCACCAGCAGATCTGCACTGTAAGAAATGTTCAAGGAAGTTCTTCGGACAGAAGGCAAGTGGCATCAGATGGAAATTCAGATCAACAAAGAATGAAACGTAGCGGAAGTGGCAAATACGTGGGCAAATATGAAGTACATTTTTCTCATTTGTATTTTCTTCTTGCTCCTAATGCACCTCTGCCAGAGGCACCCTGGCCCGGCCTGGTACCCAGCACCTGTACTCCCTCCACCCAGACCCTGGCCAGCCCTAGGGTTCCCAGGCCTCAGCATCAGTACCATCAGAGGCGCTGCTTAGGGATAGATGCAGTCCCGCCAGGATAATGTGCCAACCCTTCATCCCTCTAGTCTCAGGAAGTCCAACCTTACCCAGGGCTGGACCACTCAGGAGGTTCCTGCAGTGTCTGCATGAGAGCAGCGGCCGAGGAGATGAGGATGCACTGACCAGAGAGATGTTTCAAAGGTAAATGGGCAGGGCTGGGGTGGAATTGCTCAGGAGGACTCACCTACCTACCCTCTGCCTTGAGTAGCTGGATGGGTGGTGTGTCCTCTGAAAGGGGAGCAGCCCAGAGATAGAAGGAGCCATGTGAGGCGGGGGGGGGGGGGGGTTGCATTACGGCAAAATTGTGAGTTTCCTAAAAGGTCGGGTAGGGTAAGAAATTACTGCTTTTAGAAGATATTAGGTACAAAAAGCCTTGACTGAAAGAGAAGGAAGCAGTATGAGATGAATGACCAGAAAGCAGCAGAGGATGATGCTTAAATGATTACTGGGCTTGCATTCTCAGAACAAATAAAAGAGAAAGTGTGAGTTAAAGTACTGGGAACTATGAATCCTTATACTGTACGTTAAAACAAAACAAAAACTTTCCCATCTTTGTGGTGCATCAATATATCTACCTCAGGAAAGCAAATCTTGTACAATAGAGGAATTACACTCCTGTTGAATCATAGAATCAGGAATTTTCTTTACTGTTTTGGCAGTTACAGGAACTATGTAGCATTTGTGTTGCAAAGTATCATTGCATTGTTATTGCTCAAACAGTATGTTCTTGTTACTTCTAAGTATCCACCGCTATCAAGTGAAAAAAAAAATTTATGGATTAATAGTACCACTGGCGCCGTCTCAAAGTGTTTATTATGTCCAACTCTGTGGCCCAGCTCTCTTACCCACAGCAAGACGTTTAGATAAAATACACAGATTTTATGGAAGATTACATGCTTGAAACACAATGACTATTATGTCATGTCTTCAGGTGTTTGCATTTTGACCTCTACCTCAGGGCTTTAGAGATGAAGTTATGTAAGAAAAGTCTTAGATGATTTAATACGCTTCTGAAGAATCAACTGATATATGTACATGAAAATCTCAAAAAATTTACATGAAAGTTTCCAAAATGACCTAGCTCATAGTTATTAAGATTAAGTGATTTTTCACACTATTTCTTTACATACTTTATTGTAGTCTAGTGGCAATAGACTACTACTATTGTCTTATTATTAGAGATAATAAGACAATACTTGTGACAAAGCTCATTCACGTTCTGGGGGCACCCAGAGACAGTACACACGCCCTGCTGTCCCCACTTAAGGGCAAATTTCTACATTCTGGAAAAGGTATGGAGCAACACACAACCAAGCTGCACTTAAAACACTTTGGCAACAAAATACGCCCTGCTTTGAATAAATCATGAAAGTAGCTTTCCCCTCCCCTGGTCTCAAGTTTCTGTGGTTTCCCCCTTCCCTCTCCTCCCTATTTGAAGAAGGGCGGAGGGCATAACCTATAGGAGCAGGACTACAGCCTGAAGGGTGCAATGATATCACAGGAAAGCCTCCTATCCTGCCTGCCTTGACCTAGTTCTAAGCTGGGTGAGAAGGTGGCACCGCTGACACCTCATCCCTGGGACTGGTCAGAGGGAAGAGCTTCCTTTCAGAGACCAGGAGCCCTGTCCCAGAATCACAGTGTTTTCTTATGTAGATTCTATTTTGGTTGCTCCTGGGTTGATCTCGGTGATCCAAACACACCTGGCCCACAGCTGCCCACAGAAGCCTCCAGGCCAGCTGCAGCGCATAGACTAACGACCCCACTCCACTGCCCTCTGCTCTTCACAGCCTCATATTCCCGCTGCAACGCTCCAGCCAGGCCTCAGGACCCCCTCTGCTCTCAGACTGCTTCAGCACAGACCCCACCAGCTGGTGAGCTTCCCCACCATCCAGTCCCCACTCCCCAGAACATCACGGGAAAAGTGCCCCTTCCTCCGTACCACAAACCAGGACCACATTCCCAAGAGGATCTTTTTACTTCACTGAGAAGAAAACTGTGCAGAGAGAGGAGAGATCAACTCCTTGCTAGGGCAGAATCTTAGGAGGAAGTTTCAGCCGTGTTGACATGAAGATAAGAATGATGAAAATGAAAAAAAGAAACGGTTTTCTTCTCGAAACTGGAAGTGAAGGCAATTACCTCTATCTTATACTAATAAAAATGCAAGACATCGCCTTTTCTGCTCATTCACTCATCCAACAAGTATCGACTTAGCAAAGGTCTGGATCAGACCCTCCTCCTCACAGCCACCCCCGCCCCCCACCACCAGCGGCCAGGCTGCCCCTCAGCCTTTGAATCCCCTGCCTTCTCTCCAGGTTCATGTTGATGTAAATGGAAAATCACAGGCAGCTTTGGCCCCTGCACGGGCACTCCCGGAAGTCACAGAATTAAACTGGGGTGAGAATTGGGTTTTTTCTGTCTCCCTGGATGGAGGGTGAGGTCAAGATGGGAGCTGTGTAGGTGGCTGGGAGGGGAGGGGAGAGAAGACAGAAGGAGAGGGAATTCTTATGAGTTTGTACGCATAACTTCATATCTATAAAGAATTATAGACTATTTTGTGTAAACGTTTTTCGATGGACTTTTTCTCCACTTTACATCTCCTCAGGCTTTTAATATTACTTTTGTTTCTTATCTAGGCCACATTATGCTTGTTAACATTTCAAACAAATTGCTGTGCTCTCCTAATGATGTATTAAAGGAGGTCATTGCCTTAAAATACAAGGCACCAAAGAAAGATAAAAGCTGTAAGTAAAAGTAGAACGATAAACCATTTAGCTTGAGTAATAGAAAATTTTTATTTGTGTTTTAAAACAGGCTCATGCTAAAATCACTCTATCCTATAAATTAGAGACACTTGGATGTCCCCAGTTCTGCTAGAATCGGAGTCAATGACATTTGAACCACTTTTATGAAGTGGAGGCAGATTGATCTCCGACACAGCCGAGATGCAGAGGTAACTGGTTCCATTTCCACCCTAATAATACAAAACCAAAATAAAGGGGAAGGTTTACCTCCGCAAGGCTGAAGTAAGAGTTCAGGCCTCTGCTGATAGATAATTTAAAGCAAAACAAATCAAGACACTAGGCGAAGTTAAAAAAAAACAAAAAACAAAAGACAAAACATTACTTGATATGCTTATTACAGCAGTATAGTATAGTGATATAGTTGCATATTATTATTATTGTATTATTTGTATATTATATATTTATATTTAGAGATGTAGTTGTATATTATTATTATTGTATTATTTGTATATATTTATATTTAGAGATGTAGTTGTATATTATTATTGTATTATAGTTGTATTGTACTGTATAATAGTTGTATATCATCAAGATACACCCATGATAAAAATTAGGGGACTTGAACTCTCAGAAAATTGCATAAAGACCTTAAAATAGTAAGACGTTTGGAACCACGCCTCATTTCTATGGTAGCCACAGCTACAGAAATGCAATGCGTTCCTTGTCAACACAGGAAGTTTGTTACAAAGACATCATTCAAAAG